TTAACGTTAATATCTTTGTAGTGACCGGGCCTGTCCACACTGAACAAAAACTGTCACTGAGTTCAAATTTTTTCACTGATGGCAGAGAAGACGATTTTTTTTACAGTTACTTGGAAGTGCGGTGCATAATTCAGCCGCTAAATTGTATTTGTTGTCAGCTGAAAGGACTTTCTTTTTGTTAATATATATATTATTGTAGATTCAGATGTTCAGTGTCCATTTATTTATTTATTTACACTAGGACTTTAAAACCTGGATCGCCCCTAAAGCGACATTTGTCCAGTGTGAGTGCAATCGGACCATGCCCAGGCACGACACGGATGGGACATTGGCCTGGTTGGAAAAAGTGGGCCAAAGCACGGCACGGTTTCCCATGCACAAGCACATGTAGGATTTTACTATACGATCGCTGTCAGGTGCGCTTATGTTACTCATACGAGGAATACAGTGAATAAAATCTGCTCCAAAACACAGAGTGAATCCGTGCTTATCTTCAATAATGAAGTTTAGCTGCCTCTGGCCCCCGGCTGTCATCACTGCTCCGCGTTGTTTTTATATCCATGAACTCACGGAGGAGCGCGTATCCTAAGAGGACGCACATCTGCCTCACTATTTAATGGATATTTCTGCCGCTGAACGTTTTTTCTCTGCTAAAAGTGATAGTACATGTAAACAAACAGCGCCGTGTGATGACGTTATTGGGCCGTGATCTGGTTTGGATGTGAAAGTGTGAGTGCGGAACATTGAACCCCACGCAATGGTGCTTGAGCATGGCACGGTTCTAAAGTCGTAGTGTGAGTGCGCCCTTATTTTCAAAAACAGACTTTCCTTCAAATTCTAAATTGTCAAGATTGAATAGTTGTTGAGGAGTCTTACAAAGTACTTAACATTATAACACTGATCAGAAAATAACGTAATAACTTTGTTTTCTCATCATAAACAGACCTGTTTAACTCACAAATCCTGCAGATTTAGGCTGAGTTTTTCTCTCCAACAGAAAACACTGTTCCACTTTGTGATGTCATGTGCTCCACTGTTTTTAAACTCCATACATCTTCACTAGAATCATTTAGATCTTAAATTATCTTAAAAACTACAACTACATGACATCACGAGGTGGAACAGAGTGTTTGTAGTTTCAGAGGAGTGAACAAACTAGTAAACCACAATTACTCATGTGTGAATGAAACAAAACAACTACAGGATATAGCTGTAGTTGTGTTTTGTTTCATTTTGATGAGGTAACAGCATTACAACATGGCTTAACCCTCACACAAGTCAAATTTGTGTAACACTGAACCTTTAATAACTGTGGAGGCGTCTCAAGAGGTAATTAATAAAGTCCTGACACTTTGTAAAGAAGAAAACAGCAAATAAACAGCATCTCCCCTCAGGCTCAGCACTGCAAATTTCTCTGATCTGGCCAAGATTTTAAAACTTATTTCAGGTTATTAATCTTGTTTTCAGATTTATTATCAACTTACTAGACCAGAGACTGATTAATTCTAGTCTAGAGGTAGTTTATTTTAAGATAACTTATCTTGCTGCATGGACAGATAACTTCACTACTTTTAAGTCATTTTCTGATAGATTTAAGTGTTTATATCTTATGTTTTGGCCAAGCTTTTTTGCAGTGAACAAAGTCAGAATTCAAATCAGAACAAATCCTTATTTTGTCTGATTGACTTTCAAAGCAGCCGGCCCGTCTCTGAAATCACGGCCAAACAAAGGTCCATTTGAGGCAGCTTTTCTCCGCCCGTGCATTGGTTATTCCTGTCACTCGGGTTGCATTTGAGGATTAGGATGATGGCCTGTATTTTGCATGCTGAAATCACAGGACTGCCTTTGCCTGGACAACATTTACATCTCTTGACACAGCTGGCCTGGGCAACCACTGGCACAAAGAAAACAAGGAAGCAGGGTAGAAAAACAACTCCCAGGTTAAGTTACCACTAAAGAGGGCTTTTAGTGCTCAACGTCCAAACAGCATGCACCATTTTCCACTTTTTTAAATAAGCTGAGGCTGACTTTAGGGAGGCATTTGAATATGGGGAGTTAATGATAGTGGACAGTTTCATTCATAAAAAGACTGGGTGGTTTAGTTGGCAAGCGAGTTAAAGGCGCATTGTGTAACTTTTCTGGCGGGGTGTCCGTAAATGCTTTTCTTCATGGAGATTAGAAGTTATTGCTTCGTCTGGAATGTTTCGGTGTGGTATTAAAACTTTCTATCTCCATGGAAACCAAACCGGACCAAGTTAGAGGTCAGGTCAGATCTGTGGAAGGGCGAGTGCCTGTTTTTCTAGGTATTTTTGAACTATAAAAACACCTGTAATTTAATAAAAGTAGGTTTGAGCTGTTTTATGTCGTACTGTGGGACATTCCAGGCAGAGCAATGACTATAGAAGATCATTTGTTTCATTAGATTTTGAATTTTAAACACGGCTGAATTTTTCACTTTTGATTTTTTAACTTTTATTCTGAATTTTAGTTCCTGAAATTTTACTTTTTCAATATGTTTAAATTTTAAAATACACTTTTAAGCACATACATTTTCAAGCTCTAAAATTCAACAGTAAAAATTCTGTAATAAATTTCACAACAAAAGATCCAAGATGCTAAGGCAGAAGCAATCGATCCTGTGTGAATGAGGAGGACAGAGGGTGTTTCCTATTGGTCGTTCTCATCTGTGGGCGGGGTTTACACGTAAGTAATCAAGCCCTGCGTTCGATTATCTTCCGACTCCCACTTTGACCTCGGATTTAACGTCACATCTGAGCTTGAAGGGTATTATTATGTTTTGATTATGATTATTACTATTCCCTCATCTTATGAAAACGCTGCTACTTTAATTAATTAGATTTTTGGAATTTGCACTTCATTTTATGTTATGATTTCTCTTCCGTTACAACCTTAGGGACGGTAACGCCTTTTAAATCAAGTATTTGTTCAATATTGGCCTCACCACAACACCGACTACCAAACCCAAAGGCAGTGATGCGGACGCGGTAAAGTACTGCAGTAATACAAGTGACTGAAACTATCTTTAAACCACCAAAGTGTCCAAACACAATGAAAACACTTCATATTTACACGTCACAGTGGGCGTAGCCATGATGGATTCTGACTCGGAATCCTTGCTCGGTCGACTTTTTCCACCACCGAGGTCCGGGTCGCGCAGTACCAGGAAAAAGGGCGTGTCTCGCGTGTCGCTTGGCAACTTCCTCAGAAAACCGATTCAGGAGGATAATCGATCACAGGGTAAATTTCACAACAAAGATCCAAGATGCCAAGGCAGAAGCAGTTGATCCTGTGTGAGTGAGGAGGTCAGAGGCTGTTTCCTATTGGCTGTTCTCATCTGTGGGCGGGGTTTACACTTAAGAAATAAAAGACATGAGGTTTTGATTAGGCTAATTCCGACCAATCAGATCGCTTCACCGCACCATTTCCTATTTGTTACTAAATTAGATTGGATCACTTGGATCGATTGCTTAGGCCTTGGCATCTTGGATCTTTGCTGCGAATTTTTTTCATTGCGAATTTTACACTCTGAATTTTGACTGATGAATTTGAGGGCTTGAAAATATTTGTGCTGAATATTTAAACAGATTTTTTTTTTTATATTGAATTTTAAACACTTTGAAAATGCTCACTTAATTTCATCAACTGCCATTCAGAATAAAAATAATTCAATAGTTTTTCAGAGTTTTTTCACAAGAAAGTGACAGACCGCAACCGAAAAGTTACACAGTGCTCCTTTAAGGTCAGTTTTACAATCAGGGTTGGGTTTAGGAACAAAGCCTATTAGTAATAAACTGTATTCACAAAAAAATACTGTCAATATCGCTGAAATTTAAAATGCCTACGACAGGTTAGAGTCATTTTACTAAAACAGAGTTAAAATAATTGTATTTAAGATTTTACTAAAGATTCTACTTTTTTCCCCCCAATTTCGGAGGTTTAAAATATTACTTCCTGTTTGATAATCCATAAAAACAACAAGTTACACAGTGGATCTTTAACTTTCAGGGTCAAAATAGAACAGAATTATGTTTATATTTTAGCGAGTGCTCAGAGAGTCTTTTAATCTGTCTGAAAAATGTAAGATATGAATTGCTAATGCAGCACTGGTGAGTAATGAGTGTGTTGTTTTTGGGTGTGTGATTTTAGTGCAGTCGAAATAACAAAAGCGCACACTGTGGCTTTACTGGACTTATTAATCCCTTAATTAGCTCAGACCTAGAAATCAGTCACTGTCAGTTTTGGGCTCTACATTCTTACGATTGCAATGGAGCATGTTTTTGTGTTGGGTAAATGTGCTGTGTAAAAGTTAGAATGCAGCAAAGGAAAGTTTAAAGGTTTTATATTACACATAATTGACTCTTGTGAGGTTTAAACTATTTTATAATGTTTTTACCTCCTCAAAAACAGACCCAGAGTTCAGTTTTGTTTCATTCACATGTTGGAGTAACACTTTATTATTAGTCTCTTTACTTCTCCAAAGCTTAAAATGTTCTGTTCTAACTTGTGATGTCATGAACAGCTACTTTTACCTTTAATTCAGTAGATTGACAATTCCAGAGCTGAAATTATCCAATGTTTTTAGTGTTTTTCATTTGAGAGAAAAAACTCTTAAATACCTAAATATGTCAGGCATGTTATAACATAGATCAGAAAATAGTGTAACATGTGCCCTTTAATGTTTGCAGCCTCTGACCTTTTTGACCTTTTTAAAATGTTTTTATTTCACAAGCAGAGCTAACGCTGTCGCTCCGTGTCTGTGCGCAGCACTTACCCCACAGGGTTTTTACACGTATGACCTTCTCAGTCGCTCATGTTTAAAGTCTGTGCACAGAGAGAGAGTGGAGCTGGGCACAATAGGCCCTTAAAGCAGAGCCCTGTCAGGAGCATGTGACCGCGCTGAGGGGGTGTGGCCCTCAGGTGTCTGCAGGTATTACTCTGAAGTCAAGCCCCAGTGACTCATAGTGTCACATACCTGCACACAGCACATGGCTCCGGCTCAGTGAGGAGAGCAGACGCACACACACACAGCTCCTCCACGGCTCCACGGCTCCACTGAACTGAACTGGACTGAGGACGTTTGGAGCTACGTCTTTTTGAGGCTGTTGGATTTCTGCACATTTTAAGTACGGACACTTTTGTTTGTTTATTTTGAAATCCTTTGTGTCAGAGATGACGATGCCGGTAGTGAAAGTGGAGAAGGGCTCGCCTGTGGAGAGCAGCGTGTCAGGGTCCAGTGCTCCTCCACAGACGGAGGAGCAGCCCCGAGGACGCAGGAGGAAGAGACCCCTGCAGCGAGGAAAACCCCCGTACAGCTACATCGCCCTCATCTCCATGGCGATCGCCAACTCCCCAGACCGAAGGCTCACCTTAGGAGGCATCTACAAGTTCATCACTGAGCGCTTTCCTTTTTACAGAGACAATTCAAAGAAATGGCAGAACTCCATTCGTCACAACCTGACCCTAAACGACTGCTTTGTGAAGATTCCCAGAGAGCCCGGGCGGCCTGGGAAGGGCAACTACTGGGCCCTTGACCCCAACGCAGAGGACATGTTTGAGAGCGGGAGCTTCCTGCGGCGGAGGAAGAGGTTCAAACGCTGTGACCTGAGCACATATAACACCTATGTGCACGACAGCGCAGTCTTCTCCCCCGTCCACGTGACCAGAACTACACCCTACACGAACTCCATCTACCCCAACATGACGGTGAGCCCGTCCTACAGCCAGCAGCTGCCCTCGGCCTATTACCCCTCCTCATCGCCGCCGGGCTTTGGGGCCGCTCAGAGCCGCATGTTTAGCATCAATAACATCATCGCACACCCGGGTCCAGGGGGCATGCTCCAGGCTCAGGGGCCCGAGCTGATGCAGCAGTCCAGTCGAAGCTTCAGTCCAGAGGGCCCAAGCCCCTGCAGCCTGGGGGGCGCCTTCCAGAGTCAGTCGTGTGCGGGACCAGTGTCCAGCCGCTCCTCCGCTCATCCAGGCTTCTACTCCAGCCCCACGCCCCACCATGGCCCCCAGGGCTCCTACACACAGGGCCACCCCGGTCAGGGCTATGGAGCGGCGGGGCGCCTCCACTCCACAGACAGCATGGAGCACTACGGCCGGATCTCCCCCGTGCAGCTGGGCTCCTTCTCTCAGTACAACAGCTCTGCTCCCATCTCCAACAGTGGCGGGTATCTACGGCACCCCTCATACGCCGGGAACATGGACAGGTTTGTACCTGCGATTTAGCTCCAGACTCTGCGGACTCTGCAGACTCTCCAAACTGTCTGGACTCTGTGGCCCCGTGGAGCCAGCGTCAGCGCACAAACTCAAGGTTTATTCTTCAGTCTCTGTGAAATGACTCAACTGTGACATGCCACGACTTTACCAGCCATCCTCTGATGGTCCCCTCTACAGTATCAGGGTTTGTCGACTATGCTCCATCATAGTCCTTTGTGAAAACGACTTTAGGATTGAAATGAATGTGTGTTGTTATTATTATTGCCATTTTGGTGAGCTTTCGACAACAGTAATTTGTATAAATTATTGTGTAAAATAGTGCTTTGCGGTTATAGGTTTTGCAAGGCTTAATTGTATGAAGAATGTAGGTTTTGTTTGTATACGCTTGTTGCCAAATAAAACAGCCTGTTAGGACGCCTTTAGGACAAATGAAACAGCCTGTTAGGATGCCTTTAGGACATAAGCTCTGCTATTTAGCACTTATTTTTGCCAATAAAAAAATAAATTATTCAACCTAATATTTGTGTTAGATTATTAAAATCTGCCCCAACAAGACCCAACAGGGCTCCTCTTTAAGCGCGCCGGAGAGCTGCTGGTCTCAGTCTCAGCTCAGCAGGTTTGAAGTGGCGTCTGGAGCCTTGGTATTAGCGCCATAATCATGTCCAGACATCAGCAGCACTTAAAACACACGCTAAATCTCCCATGTACCGCTAATCAGGAAAACTAATTCACCTGTAACTTGATATTGTGAGTTAAGTGGCGAGACCTCTGTTTTGACAAAAGGACCACAGCTACAGCGTGTTTGTACAACAGACAAGACGGGACTGGAAAAAAACGCCTCATTACGGAGAAGACACTTGATTTCGCGAAAAAAATCCATTGTTGACAGATACGACTGAGGCAAATTAGAGTTGAATAGCTGCTAATTTTTCTTGAGTGCATCACGATTTCTAACAGCGGTTTCTCTGCATAATCCCTGTAATCAGGTATGTCAGTACGTGAGAATGGACCAATGATCTAATGTAATTTTATTGTGGTTACAGTTGAAATAGAATATTAAATAGAGGTAATGAGGAAGCCCTCGAGGGTGAAACAATTATAGTTTTTATATACGGTTACGATTTTTGTGAATTATTGAGGGGTAATTAAAAAGACAATACTTAAACACTGCTTAGGACTTATCAGTAGTAGAAGGCATGTTTATTTACCCATAAAAAGGAAATATCTTACATTTTAATTACAGAAACATTAAAACGAGGTGGAAAGGTGTAAAAAAAACAAACAAATAGAAAACATAAATACAACATAGAAACATTATCCAACGTACTCGATGAGCTGCTGGAGCTGTTCACATTTTCTCACACTCGCAGGCAAAGACAGCAGCGTCTGCAAAAGGGAAAAAATACAGTTTTTAATCATATATTTAAATAGTTTCAATTATAATTTTTATTCGTTTAAAATGTCAAAACTCAATACTGTACTGAAATATCATGAATACCTTTTAATACATTTTATTACTGAAATTAAGGAGGCACAATATGGAAAAACTTTGCCATATACAAGAACTAATACAATAATATTTTAAATTATTGCAATATTTTTAAACACTTTTTGACCCAATAATTTCCAGTTATAATAAGACAAACAAAATAACATGCTTTAATTTACTCTACAAACATAAAAACTAAAAAATATTCATAAAAAGCAGCATTATTTAACATTAATTCTTTTTTAAAACTGCATTTTTTTGCGATATAAATACTTTTGTGATATACTGTGCAGCCCAAATTGAAAGTACTTAGTCATAGTAACAGTAGTAGTAACAGTAGTAGTAGTAGCAGTATTACTACTACTACTACTACATGTTTAAAAGTCTCCAGCTCACCTCTCGGACTTTATTGATCATATTGTTTAACATCTGGAGCTCCTTCTCGCTCTTCTGCTGGTTGGTCAGGTAGATTCCTTGCTGCAAAAAAAACGAGACAAAACACTTTTTTAATACAAGATATTTTTATACGACACATTTTCGCAGTTCTGTCCAAACTCACGTGTCTTTTCGCTCTTTCCAGAAGCTTGTTTCGTGCCTGCTCCTCGGCCTGGAGACTCATCCTTAGCTTCTCCAACTAAAACATACAGAAATTTAAATACGTACACACACTTTTTTAAACACATTTGTCATGAAAACCATTTTTAAATCTACAGTATCATTAAAAAGCCATGAGATGTAACAAATAAATAGCAGAATAAACCCAAAATTGGCCAAAAAAGTTATATATTCTAGCCTCTACAGCTCAAATCTTGCCTCAAATCTCTCCACTATAGCAACAAAAATACACACACGATAAATATTTGAGCTGCGAGATATACTATCCTAGCCTTCGTATATTTAAGTTTATAGAGTATTTAACATCATCGTGACAGCGCTGGACATGGTCCTACCTCCTTTAAGAGGCCGATCTTCTCGTCCATGAAGTCTGGAGCGGTCTGGGCTCCATGTTTCTTTAACTCATCGCGAAGAAATTGCACCTCGGACTTGGACTGTTGCAGAGACCGACGAAGCTCCACCAGCTCTTTACGCAACTCCTACAAAACAAAAAAACAAAACGGGAAAGGTTTAGAGAAAGATCTATTTTAATTTACTTTAAAAGATAATAAAAAATAATGAGAGGAAATTTGTGTGGAGATGATTAATTACTTAAACATTTTTCAGATAGATAAATAATTTATTGATCCAGAAGGAAATTCAGGTTTAATTTACATTTTTAACACATTTTTTATTATACTATTTTAATAAAGAAACATCTATTAATACTTACTATGTTGTCAGCTTTGTGTTTGTTGTGCATCTCTTGAATCTCACTTATCTCTGCTACCAACTTTGACACCGTTTTCTCATCCTGCAACGAGAAAACACGTTTAAAATGCACTATTATTCTGAGTTGTTTTTTTATTATTTTTTTTTGTGTTTAATTAGTTTGTATCTGTGTTTTCACCTGGGCTCTCTGTTGTAGAGTTGCATTGGCCTTTTCCATTCGAGCCTTGAGCCGATTCAGCTCAAACTGCAGCTCTGACACTTCGGTTTGGTGAGCGCTGTTCGCGGCCTCTAGCTCCCTCTGCAGGCGGCATCTGGAGCGACACGGTGACTAGAGGTTAATCACTGTACTACTGTTAACATATACGCAGTGAGCACATTAAAAAGTAGTTTTGGATTCAAAACAAAGGGTTACCAAGAATTCAAATCTGTTGTACATAAATAATAAAAAGCACTTCCTCTTAATCTTAGAACAGTGAGAGTCATTGTTGAGTCATTTTGAACTAATTTAAAGACTCGCCTGTATGGACTTGCCTTTCTTCACTGACCTGTTTTAATTGGCCCGTTTATTCTGTCTATTGTATTTTATAATGTCATATAATGTTTTATCTATTTTATCAGTTATTTATTTAAAAATATTGATCTATTTTTATTAATATGGTGGACAGATAGTGGGTGTTAGGTGATGATAGAAGTTGGTAGTAGTAATTAATTTTATAAGGTTAGGTTGGGTTGTTTTTTTCGTACCCGTAGCTAAATTTGTTTTGCAGATTTGAAAGGCCGGTTCCACATTTTACATTTCATTCATCCACATAATGTACATTAAACACGTATAAAAACACAATCCCAAAATAAAGTGTTACAGTGCTCCAGTGCTCAACAATTAGTTAAATTCATCCATCACGCTTGGCTAAAATCACAATTAATATTAAATGTATATAAAAACAAACATTTTTTCCAATACAGGTACTAAAATTGATAGATAAATAGCTTACAATTTATTCATAAGTGCGATCGAAGCAGGAACAAAACTCTTTTTAAAATGATTCCTTCTAGATCTTGGGACTAAAAGTCTCTGACCAGAAGGAAGCAGCTGAAACTCTGAGTTTAGGGGATGTTGCACGTCTTTTAAAATACTCTGGGACATCCTCTGTACCTGTCCTGAGAGACCAGGCCGCTCTGAGGATGGACAATCACTTTACTCACTCATTTAAAGAACTGATTCAGGGAGTCCTTGTTTTTAGCAGAAATGCTCCCAAACCATAGCCAGACTGGCGCCACCTAGTGCCTCCACTTAATTTAATTTCTCTACAGTGATTAGATCAGGAATCAAAATACAATAGACTGTTTGCAAGAACCCCGGAAGTGCAAGTTCAGGCACCAGCCAATCAGCAAATAGTCATATATTAGTGTTGTCAACGATTCCTGAGATCGAGGATTTAAAGCCGGAATAAAGAGAATGTTTGGTGAATTTTATCAAGGGGAAAGACGTTATTTCCCTTCTTCCTACGGGATTTGGGAAAAGCCCCGTTAGCGGCGCATTACATACGTCACGACCAAATAGCAGCGATTGGTTACATGATAAAAAGTACCTGCCTACCATCGAGCGGATGAATTCTAATACTGCGAGGTCAGACAGTTTGTATGAAGGGAAACAAGTAAAATCAGCTGATGTATCAGGCTACCCAAACCATGAGACCAGTGAAAAAGTTAAAACTGAGTCCCTAAACATTTTATAAAACAGTGTCATCATGGTTCTGTCTACACGGTAAAAGGACGACTTCCTCATACAATGAAGGCGCTGGTGCCTCTTTTACACACAGCATTATGATTATCGTCAAAGCTCAAATTTGAGTCAATGAATGTTCCAAGATACTTATAAGAGTTCACACACTCAACTGACTGCCCTTTTATACTGTATATGTGGCATTATTCTAAAAATTAAATAAAATAAAAATAAATACATGTTATTAAAAGCATGTACGTGTCCAGGTCTCAGGGGCAGGTTGGATCACAGCTGACCCTTCTCACCCACGGACTACTTAAGCCCCTTCCCTTATTTTCCTCTTTCCTGTTTTACCTCTCCCAACAAGAGCAGTTTTTCCTCCCTGCTTTTCAGAGCTTTTAACCATGACATAGTTCTTTCTCCTTCTCATGTACCTTTTTGACTTTGTATTTGGAGCGAACTGTGCATGTCTGAACAATATTTTCTTTGATGATACTTTTAAGGTTCAGCAGTGTCGCGTAATTATTTTGGTACAAAAAAAAAAATCTGCAACTTGCTATTGTGATGTGCAGCTATCGACAGGAGGTGCCAACAGCTGTCTGGCTCTTGTGGAAAAAAAAAAAAATCTCTTGGTGATAAATAATTAATCCATTTGCGAAGGCTGGTGAGTTTTTTTAATACAGACAAAGGTTTAGGCCTCCCCCCGCAGTACGTCCCTCTCAGCCCCTAATGTTACAAAGCACCAGGTTTACAGCCTGAGATGACCAGAGGACATACATTTCAAAGTGAGAAGGTGACGACTCCTGCTGAGGTGTGGCCAGATGCGCTTGATCTGATTGGCCTCCGTGTTCACGTGCATTTGTCACTTCCTGACAAAATTGGCACGCAAAAGGGAACAGAAGAGTTTACACTGAAGGGTCTTTCTAACACCGTCTTTAACGACCAAACCAAATGAGTTTTAGTTACAAGACCAAATGTGTGTCTAAGAGATAATCACTGTTTTAATTTAATCAATTATAATCAATATTTTCTGGGGGTCTGGCCTTGGGTACAAATCACATTAATTTACACAAAGACAGATTGAGACAAATCTTTCCACAAGATAAATTTCCATCACATTGTGGTGATGTTTACAGCAATGTCAGCTGCTATTGGACACCCCCGCTTTCTAACGCAGAAGTCATCAGATTTGTTTCTTTTGTTAAGCTGTTTTAGATGAATATTGTGATTTGAATTATACAAATTACATCCTAAATCCGCGGTTGTCATAAATTATAACTATAGAGCAGACACAAGCACAATAGTTCTTCTTTAAACAGCTGTAATTAGTCTACTTGCTCTGCTGTTCTGCCCATACTGTATGTTTTGTATTTCCATTAAAATAAGGTAAAAAAACAGACTTTGATATACAAAGGAGAAATTCACTTCTGTCAACTGGACAATTTTTTTTTTAATCGAATACGTTTCACAGCTCATCCAAGCAGCTTGTTCAGTTCTGGTCATACACTGGTGGACACTGCCTTATACCTGCCTGAAGGGAGGAGCTAAATACACTGAAACTACTCTGAAACTAACTTTTAATTTGAATGCATGTCCTTATTTTTATTTCATCATAGTTTATATTATTATTCTTTATTTAAAAGGCCCATGCCTGGAGTTGTGTTTAACACAAATCCTGCATATTTAGGCTGAGTTCTTCTCTCAAACAGAAAACACTCTGTTCCAGTTTCATGACATCACAAAGTGGGAGTGCTCCACTGTGTTTTTAAACTCTATACACCTCCTCTTGAAACATTTGGATAATTTTGGAATTGCCAATCTCTACTGAACTGTTAACTTGACAGCTACAGTCTGATAAAGTATTAGTCAAACATGTGTGAATGAAACGAAACACAAAAAAGTCCAAGTCTGTTTCTGAGGATATAACAACATTCTAACATGTCTTAAAGCTCACAAGAGTCAATTCTGTGTAATATAAAACCTTTAAAGTTGTACTAAAACGCCATAGCAAGTTCCTAGTTTGTGATTTTGACTGAAAATGCTAATAAAACAGATTGTGATTCTCATTGTCCCCGTCCCAGAGCCCAGACGCAGCAGCACTCACATGGTCTCCTGTTTCTCCTTCAGCTCTGCATCTTTGCGTTGTTGGACAGAGCTCATGATGTTTTTGAGCTCTGTGACGGTGGAGTCCAGCCCGACCAGCAGCTCCGACACGCTGCTCTGCTCCTCCACGCCGCCGTCGGAGCTCCGCCCCCTTTTCGGAGTGACCGCCGTGACGCGTGTGAAGGCGCTGCTCTCGCTGAACAGCAGGTCAGACGCAGCATCAGAGTCTGAGAACGCTGAGGACAGAACAGGAGAAGTTATAACAGAGAGTTTGTGTAGACGTCTGAAAACAACACAACACTGCAGTTTGTGCTAACAGTACTGTGTAGTTAAGTAGTAGTGGTAATACTGGTAGTACTGGTAGTAGTAGTAGTAGTAGGAGGTAATGGTAGTAGTAGTAGTAGGTAATGGTAGTAGGTGTAGGTAATGGTAGTAGTAGTAGTAGTAGTAGGTAATGGTAGTAGTAGTAGTAGGTAATGGTAGTAGTAGTAGGTAGTAGGTAGTAGTAGTAGTAGTAGTAGTAGTAGTAGTAGTAGTAGTAGTAGTAGTAGGTAATGGTAGTAGTAGCAGTAGTAGTAGCAGTAGTAGGTAATGGTAGTAGTAGTAGGTAATGGTAGTAGTAGTAGTAGTAAATGGTAGTAGTAGTAGTAGTAGTAGTAGTAGGTAGTAGTAGTAGTAGTAGGTAATGGTAGTAGTAGTGGTAGTAGTAGTAGTGGTAGTAGTAGTAAGTAGTATTAGTATTAGTAGTAAGTAGTAGTAAGTAGTAGTAGTAGTAGTAGTAGTAGTAGTAAGTAGTAGTAGTAGTACTACTAGTAAGTAGTAGTAGTAGTAGTAGTAGTAGTAGTAAGTAGTAGTAGTAGTAGTAGTAGTAGTAGTAGTAGTAGTAGTAAGTAGTAAGTAGTAGTAGTAGTAAGTAGTAGTAGTAGTACTACTAGTAAGTAGTAGTAGGTAATGGTAGTAGTAGTGGTAGTAGTAGTAGTAGTGGTAGTAGTAGTAGTAAGTAGTATTAGTATTAGTAGTAAGTAGTAGTAGTAGTAGTAGTAGTAGTAGTAGTAGTAGTAGTAGTAGTAGTAGTAGTAGTACTACTAGTAAGTAGTAGTAGTAGTAAGTAGTAGTAGTTGTAAGAAGTAGTAGTAGTAGTACTACTAGTAAGTAGTAGTAGTAGTAGTAAGTAGTAGTAGTTGTAAGTAGTAGTAGTAGCAGTAGTACTAAGTGGTAGTAGTGATACTGATAGTAGTAGTAGTAGTAGTAGTAACTACCAGTAGCAATATGTAGCAGTAGTATGTAATAGTAGGTGGTAGTAAGTAGTAGTAGTGAAACTAGTAGTGGTAGTAGTGGTAATGATAGTATTAGTTGTAAGTAGTAGTAGTTATAGGTAGTAGTGATACTGCTAGTAAAAGTAGTAGTATGCAGTAGTATTAGTAGGTAGTAGTAGTAGCAGTTGTAGTAATTGATACTTTGCAGTGACATCCCTCTGTGGGTGTTCTACATGTATGCCTATGGTGGAATGTTTAGCAGTTGCCACGGTGACACAACACACACATCAGCAATAACGGCCAAAAAAAAAAAAGTTAAAATAAGTCTAAAAACTCAAAAATAAAATAAATAAATAAAAATAAAACACAAAATATATTTAAACAGCGCATGTTCAGGAGGCTGTGATCGATCCGAGCGTTCGCGTTTCTGTTTCAGGAGTTTGATTTTCGACAAAAAGGTGAGAGTGACTAAGTGAAAAAACTGTTGACTAAAGCCGGTGTAACGGACTAATTGAGCAGCGAGCTTACGGCTGTAATCTTACGTGTAATTTATTGTTTAAGAGCACAAATCATCTCACCTGCTGTACTTCCAGCTAAGTCCGCTCTTTATGGTCGGATTGTGTTAAAAAATAAAGATCAGATTAAAGTCTAACTGGAGTAACAAAGCCTCAGACAGAGCAGAGCCTTGAGTTAGCATCACACCCCCAGGGGAATGTACATGACATCAGCTGAAAAATATCAATTTAAGTAACAGTAGTGGAAGACATAAAGTATTAGGCTTTTCTTTGTGTGTTTGGTATTAAACTACAACACAGATTATTACTTTTCATTTTGTAAACCACAATATTGATCGAAAACGGTTTAGTAACAGCAACAGGTCAGTCGAGTTCCTGCTCAAAACTGTCGAACCAAAAACCTCGGCCTCTTCACGTATGAATTTCACCGAGCAGAGGATTTTCATTATGCGTTTTTTATAGTTAAAAGGGCCCATATTACCCTATTTTGTGATGTTATAAAGTTGTTTCCTCATCAAAATCAAACCTGGAGTTAGGATTTGTGTGTTAAACTTGAATGAAATGAAATGTAGCTGTGAACTTGAAAAACTACAAGCCTCATTCATCAGCCGGTTTCAGTTTGTAAAAACCATCTGTCCATACAGTGTGAATCTTTCGCTCGACGGTTGGCGTTTATTTTTTATTTTTTTTCTAACCAATCGCTGCTATTTGGTCCTGACATATGTAAAGCACCAAACCCCGTAGGAAGAAGGGCAATAACGTCTTTCCCCTTGTTAAAATTCACCAAACATTCTCTTTATTCTGGCTTTAAATCCTTGATCTCGGGAATCGTTGACAACACAGAATGTATGGCTCTTCGCTGATTGGCTGATACCCAGACTTGCACTTCCGAGGTTCTTGCAAACCATCTAGTGTATTCCGATTCCTGACCTAGTCGCTGGAAAGAAATGAAATTGAGCGGAGGCACTAGGTGGTGCCAGCCTGACTAGAAAACTACCACTACATTCACTGAGGCTCTGTTAAATTATTCTATGCTACCTGTTGGCCGCATTACTCGAGACTGGTCTTGGTCTGGAAACCGGCCTTGAGCTCATTTGGACTCGGTCTCGTCTTGGACTCGAGGTCTGACACTTGACGAGTAATTACGGAAGGTAAATGTGCAGCGGCTGCTCAATATCACTGCAAAACCAATAAGATAATGTAACTGTAAATGTTAAATGTTACAAACTTAAAAAAAAACAACAACACTTGAATCACTTTAAAGTTGTTTTCTGTAAAGTGCCAATAGAAGTGGGATTAAAGAATAGGTTTTCAAACTGTGGGTGAAGGTCTAAAAGAGTGTAGGAACATAGAGTGTTTCAGTGTAGTACAGTTTGCTTGGCCTATTTGAAACTTAAATGAACATTAATCAGATCAAATGGAGATAGATTTATAAAAAACACTGATATAAATGTGCCAAAATAACTGTAAAATACAAATAAATGTAGGAAATGACCAAGATGGTCTCGATGGGCCATGGTCTTGGTCTAGTCTCTGTCTAGACCTTTAAAAGTCTTGGTCTTACCCTGGTCTCAGGACCCTGTGGTCTTGGACTGGTCTTGGTCTTGATTAGTGCAGGTCTTGACAATAATATTACTACCTGGAACCTCTTTTTACATCACGCTGACTCTTTAACCCTTCCTCAGGATCTGGAGGATGACTAAAATACCTCTATGGGCTCCTTTCCTCCTTTTACATCTCTATTTCCTACTTTACTACTTTATTTTTTATTATTATTAATGTTATTATTTTGTATTGCTTTATATTGTGTATTTATTAAATTTATCTACTACTACTTTTTTCTATTATATTTTCTATTGATATAATTATTTATGTATATTATTATTATGTATTTATTATTATTATTTTATAATTTTTATTATTATATTTTGTTTGGTTTGTTTTTTTGTTTTGTTTTTTTACTTACTGTAATAAGTCATATCTGTACTATCAGTACTATTTAATATAATGCACTTTTTTTCCCCCAACTTTGTTAATGTTAAAAATGTTCAATAAACAAACTACCACTACATTTTGAGGTTTGGAGATGTAGACTGACTAATAAATCAGAATTACTCAAAACAGGTGTGAATATTTTTGATGAAATAACAACATTATAACATGTCTTATTGCTCACACAAGAGTCAATTTTGCATCATAAAAGATGTTTAAAATACTGAATAATTGCAAGTAAGTACAGAGCAGTGAGTGGAGGTAAGTGTTAAGTGAAAACAAAAATAAGAACACAATAGAACTGAAAGTTTCTGCGCAATCCAGCTTCAAACACAGGACACTACAGGATTTTAAGTTGTAACACTGAATAACACTTGTCACATCTACCACAATTTGAAATGCTCTTTATGGGTGGTTAAGTAAACAGGTTTTACTAGAATACGTTTTGTCTGGCACTGCCTATTGCTCATGACCTAATTCAGCAACAATAAAGTCTGAGCCAAACCTTTGTCAGCTATTCCCACAATGCACCTGTGTTTCCAGTTACGTGTCTCTGACAATCTGACTAAAACACAGTTAAGCTCATTATATTCAGGATTTTACTAAACATTTTGCACTTTCTTTCCCAGTTTGGTCATTTTTTTAGGTTTCAAATTCTACTTCCCGGTTGGAAATCACAACATCAGTGTTGCAATTAATTGAATTTTGATCACAATTTCGTTTTGTGTGTCAAACGTTCTCCAAACTCATGTAAGTTGAAATGATAAGCTTAACAGTCTATTTGAGGATATTTTATGTATAAATAAGTACCGTATATTTCAGATTATAAGTGGCTTTTTTTTTTCATGGTTTGGGTGGTCCTGCGACTTATACTCCGGTGCAACTTATATATTAAAATTGTCATACCAGCAGCTGCAAGAGGGCGTTCTAGACTTGTGTGCCAGTTTTCTGCTACTACTATTACTCCTATGCTATATTTACCTGAATAACTGTTACATCAACTTCACTTCACTAATGCTAATCATTGTTCACCTTTAAAAGGGCAGTGTGGAATTTTGGACATAGGGCCTCATTTCCTAGTGAGCCAGAGTGTTGGAGACGTGTGGAGACACTTTTTAAAATATTCCATCCAGTCCTTATATTTGCAGAGGTCGCTGGTGCTAGGCTAGTGCATGTCAATGGCCATAGTTAGCCTGCCACTAAAAATAGTCTTACCCACTCCACAAAACACCCGAAGAAAATGTATTATTACATCAGACTGTCGATTTGAATGTCTGTGTTGATAGAATAATGTTTGATATAAAATTAACCTTCCATCGCATGAATCGTTGCATGTTGAGGGACTATTTTCTCATATATCAGTCCGCCACTGCCGAGCTTTTTATCCGGAAGTACAACTCGCTGCTGCTGCTCAGACATAAATCCTTCAAATGCAAGGTTGGTTTTACTTCTAAAATTATTCTATCAACACAGACATTTACATCGACAGTCTGGTGTAATAATAGATTTGTTTCGGGTGTTTTGTGGAATGCGTAAGACTATTTTTAGTGGCAGGCTAACTATGGCCATTGATATGCACTAGCCTAGCACCAACGACCTCTGCAAATACAAGGACTGGATGGATTATTTTAAAAAGTGTCTCCACACGTCTCCAACAGTCTGGCTCATTAGGAAATGAGGTCCTATGTCCAAAATTCCAAACTGTCCCTTTAAGCTTTCGTCTTTCTTACCATGATAGTTGTGGATAAATTGATTATGGAAGAATGTTTCTCTTTTGTCGACCTTGTTGGATGAAGATTTGGTAATGGGGCAGATTTATGAAGCTGTTGGAAAATACGTGAGACATTTCCACAGATATTTTGCTGTAGAAAAGCATGAACATAAGTGACGTTTATCCTACAACGCGACACTTCTGACCGTTGTGAAAAAGGTCTATACAGCACGCAGCACTTAGTTAGCTTTGATTGACATGGACAAAATGCTGAGAATTTTTAGAGACTCCCATCCAGTTACTCACCAGGTTCGGGGCTTTCTTCCTTGTCAGGTGTCGGTGCCGAAGCGACGCTGTCCACAAAGGAGCTGGGAGAAGTGTTGTGAGGAGACAGCCGATCTGAAAGCTACAAAATACAAAAAAAGGATTAAATTCCCATCTGACTTAAATTACACTTTTATTTTATATTGTTTTATTGATACATTGCAGCTGATAAACAGGACCATGAACTCTTTCTTCTGAAAATGCATTGTTCGAATCAATTTTGTATTTGAGTTTTCAGACTATCTTAAAACTTTTTGACAGTGTCACCATGGTAACTGCTGAACATTCCCCCATAGGCATACATACAGAACTCCCCCGGCGTCATATCACTGCAAAGTATCAACAAAAAACACACTTTGAGACGCATTTTCACCTCTTCCTTTACAGAATCGTGCAGCTCGTTGGTCAGATTCCTCACGGTGTGATGCAGAATGGCGATTTCCGTGACGATCTGTTCTAGTTTTTCCTTGTGCTCCGTCTTGCCCGCGGAGAGTTTGGTTCTGACCGACTCCAGCTCTTCCTGCAGGTTCCTGTTCGCGTGTCTGTAAAAAGTTTAAAAACGCAAAAGTGTATTTTCTACAATCCAAGCTCAAAATTTTCCATTTAGCTGCGCACGTGAACGTTTTCTTTTAATTGTCCATGCTCTCTTTCAAAGGTGCACTGTGTAACTTTTCCATCATCTGCTTGTTTCTATGGATATGTCATTGCTCTGCCTGGAATGTTCCACAGTATGACTTTAAACAGATTTACCTTACATTTATTCAATTACATGCGGATTTATAGCTCAAAACTACTCAAAAAAACAGGCATTCTGACTGTGAGCGGGGTCGCCTCTCCACAGATCTGATGTGTAACTTGGCTTAGTTTGGTCTCCATGATGATAGAAAGGTTTAACATCTGCATGGAGAAAAGGATTTGACGGACCCTCCAAAAGAAAAGTTACACAAAGCAGCTTTAATGTTAATTTTATGATTATTTATGTTTCGATTTATTTGTTTTCGTTTTGTGATTTTAGCGTCTTTTATTCTGTAAAGCACTTTGAATTGCTTTGTGTACGAATTTTCTGTACAAATAAATGTGTTTTGCCTTGCCATGTTGCAGCAGTGGGAAACAGTGTGAACTACATAGACCATGATCCTTTGGTGTCGTTAGTGCAGACTACATGAAGAACTAACTTTAAAAACTTAATTCTTCATATCATAACTGGACCAATGGCTTTTCCAAGGCTTTTAAAAGGAAAAAGTAGCATATTCACAATTTTTGTCATTTTTTTCTCCACAAAATATCTCAATAAATATCGACCCGTGAGAAGCATATTGTGAAAATATCGTATTGAGGGATTTTGACATCGTTACATCTGTAGTCTTCACTCACACAAAAAAATATTGTTCAGTAGGGCTGGGTGTCATTAAGAAGTTGCCGATACGATACATACCTCGATACATAGGCCACGATACACTATGTATGTCGATACAGTGCACTTTTAATCCGATACAATATATTTCAACTCGTTTCAAAATGGTTCAATAAAAAAGGTGTTTCTTGTACAAAGCAAATATGAAACACAAATATTTTAATCATCAAAACTGAAAATGTCAAATGTGTTGCGTAAACCAGTTTCTTTCCTCTAAACAAGCAACAAAACTAACACTGTAAGGAAATAATTTAGTAAAATGTACCAAAAAATACTCTTAGTGATATATTGATACAACAGTGTTTTGTTATCAAATATTAAAAGTTCAAAGACATCTATGAGGCAGACCCGCTATGCGCCGACTAACATCCATAACGCGTTTTAAGAACAGAAAGCACATTTAAAACGCAAAATTCTGTGAAATGTTTTAATAACTTTGCCGTGTATAAAGATTCAGAAATATATTTTAAATACATTTATAGGTCTTGTGGTCATTAGTTACCACATAGCTGGTAACTAATGATCGAGTTACAGAGTAAACGTGCAAACTTTTAATATTTTTTTATGGAAAGTCTATGGGAAAAATGAATGAAAATGTGCGTCCAAGCCCTGGGGGTGTGTGGTCATTATTGAGCTCCATACTGTAACATTATATTAAATCATTAGATGAATCATCGTGTACAATACAACACACACACAAGTCGATTTAGCTGCTCTTGTATAATGATCACATATTCTGTGTTTAGTTCAGGGTTGACACCTTTTGTTGGTTTTGTAAATGTTTATGTTGTTGTTAACGTTCCTGCTTTTGTATGTGACACGTGGTTGCTATGCCGACGGGCTGATGGGAGGGGCCTATTGTCAGTGAATGGTCAGAGACACACTGCCGAGACTGCTGCTGGTATGTGCGTGTTCTGTGTGTGTTTTATGTGTGCTTTATGTGCGTGTTTTGTGTGTGTTGTGTGTGCATTTTGGGCTTGTGTTGTGCGTGTTTTGTGTGTATGTTTTGTGCGTTTTTCTCTGTGTTTTGTGTGTGTTCTGTGCTTGTTTTATGCGTGCTTTGTGCGTTTGGTGTGTGTTATGTATTTTGTATGTATTTTATGTGTTTTGTACATGTATTGTGTGTGTTCTGTGTGTGTGTTCTGTGCGTGTTGTGCGTGTTTTATGTGCGTTTTGTGCGTGTTTTTCTGTGTATTTTCTGTGTTTTGTGCACGTTTTTCTGTGTATTTTGTGTCTGTTTTGTGTGTGTTTTTCTGTGTGTATTGTGTGTCTGTTGTGTGTGTGTTTTTCTGTGTATTTGGTGCATGTTGTGTGTGTTTTCTGTGTATTTTGTGTGTTTTGTGCGTGTATTTTGTGTTCTGTATGTGTGTTTTGTGCGTATTTTTCTGTGTTTTGTGCTTGTTTTATGTGTGTTTTGTGCTTGTTTTATGTGTGTTTTGTGCGTATTTTTCTGTGTTTTGTGCTTGTTTTATGTGTGTGTTTGGTGTATGTTTTCTAATATGTGTTTTTCTGTGTATTTTGTGTGTGTTTGCGTGTTGTGTGTGTTTTGTGCATGTTTTTCTGTGTTTTGTGTCTATGTTTTGTGCGTGTTTTCTATGTTCTGTGCTTGCTTTGTGCGTGTTTTGTGTGTATTTTCTGTGTGTTTTGTGTGTATTTTCTGTGTGTTTTGTGTGTATTTCTGTTTTGTGTGTATTTTCTGTGAGTTTTGTGTGTATTTTCTGTGAGTTTTGTGTGTATTTTCTGTGAGTATTTTCTGTGTGTTTTGTGTGAGTTTTTCTGTGTGTTTTGTGTATATTTTCTGTATGTTTTGTGTGAGCTTTTCTGTGTGTTTTGTGTGTGTTTTTCTGTGTGTTTGTGCATGTTTTGCGCACATTTTGTGATTGTTTTCTGTGAGTTTTGTGTGTCTTTTCTGTGTGTTTTGTGTGTATTTTCTGAGTTTTTCTGTGTGTTTTGTGTGTATTTTCTGTGTGTTTTGTGTGAATTTTTCTGTGTGTTTTGTGTGCATTTTCTGTATGTTTTGTGTGAGCTTTTCTGTGTGTTTTGTGTGTGTTTTTCTGTGTGTATTGTGCGTGTTTTGCGCACATTTTGTGATTGTTTTCTGTGAGTTTTGTGTGTCTTTTTTGTGTGTTTTGTGTGTGTTTTGTGCATGGTTTTCTGTGGTTTGTGTCTATTTTTTGTGCGTGTTTTCTATGTTCTGTGCTTGCTTTGTGCGTGTTTTGTGTGTACTTTGTGTGTTTTGTGTCTATTTTCTGTGTGTTTTGTGTCTATTTTCTGTGTGTTTTGTGTCTATTTTCTGTGTGTCTTGTGTCTATTTTCTGTGTGTCTTGTGCACATTTTATGTGATTGTTTTCTGTGAGTTTTGTGTGTCTTTTTTGTGTGTTTTTTTGTGTTTTTTGTGCGTGTTTTTCTGTGCGTTTTGTGCGTGTTTTGTGCTGGGTTACGGCCTACCGCAGCACTTGGCCCAGTTTCAAGAGGCAGGTTTAGGCTCAGACTTTGTTAACCCTGCAAAGGTCAACCATGGAAACTCAATCTGTGAACCTAATTAGGCTTGACAAGAGTTTAATTACTGATGCCTTGTATTCATTTATAATTGACACTTATTTTACTCAAATGACTTAATGGCTCATCTGTCATCGCCTGTCAGTGTTTTGGGAAGTGCACATTGTCAGATTTATGGCTCATACTTCATTATGTTTAATTCACAGGTTCAATATTTGATTTATGCAGGATACAGTTAAAACCTCGATAAGCTGCACGGCTCTCAACATGTAATTAGCTCATTTTTATTTTTTTATTTTACAGCTTAATGTTTTTATCTAAATAGGCTGCAGCAAAATTATGCAGGCCTTTTGAGTAATATTATTTATACCTTCATACTAAAATAGAATAAATTGATTAAACAACGTGCTCCTTCACATTTCTTTTATATTAAACCTGATTCTTCCACAGCGACTTCTGTCCCTCTATAACGGGAGCCTCCTCTGGTTTACAGTTGAATTGGTAAATCCTCTTTTCTGGGCTCAATAAAGTTGTGTGTCTTCTGCTAAATTCAGGGTTTATTATCAGAGTTTTCCAAATGTGCTCCAAACTCGCTTCATGAAACAGAAAACTTTGAGTCGTCTGTCCCAGGGGAGATTAATCCAGAGTTGATTGAATTTCCTTTGTGTTTTATTATTTTATTATATTGTGATGTGTGAGCTCCTGTGTCCACATAATTTCCCTTGTGGATCAATAAAGTTTGTGTAAGTGTAAGTCTAAGAAGCAGGGTCTTTGTGTTTAGAAAATAAACAATAACAAATGATCAGGAGGAGCCACTTACTGCTCATAACAGCGCTGCAGCCCTTTATTTTATTTATCTTATTTTATTTGCTCAGAGAAGTGTTAAATTTAAGTTAATTTTCTATTTATCTTGATTTTAAATGCCTGTTTCTATTCTCTTGTTTTTAAAAAGAGCGTTTCAGCACTCGTTTTTCCTCACTGTGGGACAAATAAAGCTCTCGTATCTTCTCTATTTCACATAAATACAGTGAGAGACCGTGATGTGTGGGGCCCGGACTTACTGGAGCTGACAGAGTTCTGTGTTCAGATCTTCACACTGGATGTTCCTCTCCCTCAGACTCTTCAGATTCTCCCTCAGCATGCGCTCGCTCTCCGCCATTTGCTCCCTGCTCAGCTCATTTTCCATTTGCAAAAACTGAAAAGCAGCAGTTTGAGGTTTTACATTAAATATAGTTTAAAAACAGAAGCATGTCACTATTAAAATTTCTAATGTATTTTGAGGAGAAAAATTATGTTATTTTCAGATCTATGTTATAATGTTGTTCCCTCATCACAAACAAACCTGGAGTTGTGTTTTGTTTTGTTTCATTCACACATGTTTAACACACAAACCCTGCGTATTTAGACTGAGTTCTTCTCTCAGACCCCTCTCAAAAGGTGAAAGGTTACTTGAAAATTACCACTACATGACATGAGAAGGTGGAACAGAGCATTTTGAACTTTGGAGATGTAGACTAATAATAAAGGATTACTCAAAACATGTATGAATGAAACAAAACACAACTCCAGGTATGTTTTTTGAGGAGGGAACAACATTATGACATGATTCATAGCTCACAGGAGCCAATTTTGCGTAAGATAGGACCATTAACCATTATACTAAGTCTAATTCACTTATTATTTACACAGTCATAACTCATTAGGGGAATAGTAATTTGTTTAAGATTTATGGCCTCAAACGTAAAGAAGTGAATAACACACAAAAACGCCTTTAAATTTCTCATGATTGACTGTCAAACCGCCCTATTTGGTCTTTGTTCAGGGCAGGACAATGGCAGCCTCACCTCGTTCTCCTCGCGCACGCCTCGGAGCTGTGCGCACATCTCCTGGAGCTGCTGGAGCTGCAGCGCCTGAGCTTCGGAGACAGAGCTCAGATAGACCTGCTCCTCACTGTGAGCCAGAGCGGCCGACAGTTCACTCACGCAGCGCTCGGACTGGTCCAGAGACAACTCAAGTCTGAACAGGGGAAGAAATACAGGAATAACTCTTATGAAAGCCGCACATAATGTATTTGAAAGATCAATTTAAGTTGATAGAACACACAGAGACTCAAGGATAAGAATCAAGTTCAAGATTAAAAAAGCTGAGTAGTCACTTACTCTTGAGCTCTTTCTTTGGCTTGTTTTATGTCTGCCCATGACTGCTGCAACCTAAAAAAAACAAACAAACTGCATTTAGAAACACATACTAGTAGTTAAAGGCCCATATTATGCTATTTTCTGATGCTATAATTGTTTCCTCATCACAAACCCTCCATATTTAGGCTGAGTTCTGAGGCTGAGCACGAAGAAGACACCTTGTGATTTCATGTGGTAATACAGCAAGTGCTCCACTGTGTTTTGTTTTTAAACTCCATACACCTTCACTAGAATCATTAGGGCAATATCAGCCCTGGAACTGCCAATCTCTACTCAATAAAAGGAGCTGATAACTTGAAAACCGCCGCTTCATGACATCACAAGATGGAACAGAGCAGTTCGAGCTTTGAGTAATCCTGCATTAATGTGCAATCAGGTGCCACAGGGGGGCGCCAGTGGCAAAAACTGTTGATGTGTCCTTAGGCAAGACACTTCACTCACATTGCCCAGTATGAAAGTGGTGTGTGTGAATGATGGTGGTGGTCAGAGGGACTGATGGCAGAGATTGGCAGCCTCGCTTCTGTCAGTCTGCTCCAGGACAGCTGTGACTACAATAATGTCTTACCACCACCAAGTGTGGAAGAGTGAATGAATAATGATCTGTAAAATCGTCTTTGTGTGTCCAGAAAAGCGCTATATATAAAACTTAAATTATTATTATTAAACTTAAATTATTATTATTATAACCTTCACTAGGATCATTAGGAAGATTTCAGCCCTGGAATTGCCAATCTCTACAGAACTAAAGGTAAATAGTAGCTTTTAACTTGAAAACTACTACTTTGTGACATCACAAGGTGGAACAGAGCATTTTTAACTTTGCGTAATCCTGCGTTAGTCTATCTGCATCTCCAAACATGTGTGAATGAAACAATACACAAAAACATACTTCAGGCATATTTTAAAGCTCACATGAGTACATTTTTTGTAATATGGGCCCTGTAAAAGGTGCACTGTGTAACTTTTCGATCAGGGTTGCTGTTTGTTTCTATGGATACGTCATTGCGCTGTTTAGAATGTTCCACAATATGACATTAAACAGCTCTGCTTTTATTCAATTATAGGTGGTCTAATTGCTCAAAAATACCTAGAAAACAGGCATACAGACTGTGAGCGGGATCGCCTCTCCACAGATTTGACCTGTAACTTGGTCTGGTTTGGTCTCCATGAAGATAGAAAGGTTTAATGCCATACTGTGAGACATTCCAAATAAACCAATAACAGCTCCAGCAATAACAGTGTTTGACAGACCCTCCACGAGAAAAGGAAAAAGAAGAGTGAATTCATACTTTGTAGTTTCCGAAGCGAGAGCCTGTTCCAAAAACGTGTAGGAGGCCAGAGTGGAGGAGACGGTGGCCGACAGCTCTGTGGCCTTTCTGTCCAGCTGAGCCCGCTCCTCGTCACTCTCACTCAGCTTTTGGCGCAACACTCCCATCTCTGTCACGAAAACGAGGATTACAAACAGAAAATAAGATTCAGCAATGTAACAAGACGTGAACTTATCATAAATGTGCTTTACCTGATGTCAGAATCGTCACTTGTAGATTCAAATCGCTGATCTGTTCCTTTGCAGTTTGGAGATTTTGGAGAGTCTGGTTTAGCTCCTCTTCAGTCTGACAAACATTTTAAAGACGGGGTATGAATTGATTAATTAACACATAACATATTTAGATCACCATGTTACCTTTTTTTGTTTTGAAAAAGGTGTATTCGTCAAAAACAACATATGAACATGTTTTAGTTTCACTTTCGTTTTTTTGTTGTTGTGTATTGTTTATCCATCTTTAGTATATTTACCACTGTGATGATTTTTGACATTAAATCATAGTACTTTTTTATATTCCCATGAGGTTTCATATCTGTGTAATCCCTCAGTGGTCCGTGGGTGTATTTATACTAGTCTATGTGCTCTTATAGTTCAAGATCATTCTAAAACTATTCAGAAAATGTTCATTTCTGTCCTGTGAATGTGACTTTTTAGTACCGATACCTGCTCAAATGAGTATCTAGTTTGAATATCAGTTTTATTATTGATTATAGAGGTGTAACAATAACCAAAATATTGTGATAATGTATCGTCAAAAGTCTCTCAATAATATCGTGGGCCATCACAATATATCAAATTACAAGTCTTTTTGCTTAAATTCATAGTTATGGTGCAGCAATAGCTAAAAAAACAGAGGGAACTACATTGACCATGATCCTTTGCTTCGTTTTGGTGCAAACTACATGAAGAAATAAGAGGAAAATGTAGCATATTCACAATTTTAGACTCCACAAAATATCGCAATAAATATCGTACCATGAGATGTATATCATGAAAATATCGTTCTGTGAGATTTGGATATTGTTACATCCCTAATTGATTAGTATCTCGTTTTTATAGGGGTGGGACATTGATGCGTTAATTATGATGAATTAATTACAAAGAAAACAATGCACTGAAAATATTAACGCATTTTATCGCAGTTTGCATGCCAAATAATACAGAACATTTGTCAGTGCAGCATGTCGTGGTACGCCCATTATACTGACGCACACAGTTCCGAACAATGGAGCATGAAAGCGCTGTGGGTCTACTGGACGGTAAAACTGTGCAGAAAAGAGTTTGCATATCACAGAAGCACCTCAACCCTACGACACCATTTAAATGCAAAACATGTCACAGCGAGCACAGAAACACGAGGCTCAGAAGGTCACAACTTAAAAAAGTTAAATGGCACTTTAACTTTAGTCTTTCCAATTTTGGACAAGGACCATTTAATTTCTCTACAGCGACTAGGTCAGGAATCAATATACACTAGACGGTTTGCAAGAACCCCGGAAGTGTAAGTTTCAAGAAGCGAAGAGCCATATATTCTGTGTTGTCAACGATTCCCGAGATCGAGGATTTAAAGCCAGAACAAAGAGAATATTTGGTGAATTTTATCAAGGGGAAAGACATTATTGCCCTTCTTCCTACGGGATTTGGGAAAAGCTTAATGTAGCAGTTAGCCCCGCCTACCGTCGAGTGAACGTCGAGGTCAGACGGTTTCTACGAAGTGAAACCAGCTGATGAATCAGGCTAAGGGACCTTACCTTTGTCCACTGTTTTGAAATTAAATGCAATACATTTTTTCCAAGACATTTTTCCAGACATTAAAAGATCTTGAGGTTAAACGTGTCTGTGTGTATTATTTGACAAAGTCGTCCACTAAAATTCATTCACATAAAATAAATGTTGCTTTTGGGGCAAAAATTGTTATGAGATTAATTGAGATGAATTAATTAGATTATTTTTTTAATCAAGTCCCACCTCTACTTTTTTGATACTTACTTTGATACTTTTTTTGATGCTACTTTTAATACTAACAACTACATTTTTACACACCTGTAGTTTATCTTGTACGGCTTGGTCCCTCTCAGCGATCCTCTCGTCTCTCTCTCTCAGCGCAGCGTCGGTCTTCTCGTTCAGCCTCAGGAGTATTGGGCTACACTTCTGCAGGAGCCCCCTCACCGCACGGAGCTGTCACAACATCACAGCATAATTAAGAGCTTGTACATCTAATAAAACAATTAGTGTAGTAGGCCTGACACGATAATAACTGTACTACATCAGCTTATCGTTCAGTAAAAGATGGAATTTTTGGTGGTGAATATTTATTGTGAGGACTTTTCCTTTGGGCAAAAGCGATGAGATTTGAGCTGAAGATGGTTGAATACACATTTATAAACACTACCTAATGACTTAAAGGTGTACTGTGTAACTTTTCTGGTGGAGGCTCCGTCAAATGATTCTCTATGGAGATGTTATTGCTTTTTCTGGAATGTTTCACAGTATGGCATTAAATTACTACAAACAGCAACAACAAAATATACATTATAATTTTAGTATGCCCATATGCAAAACTCAACTGTGCGTTTTTTTGTTTTGTTTTTTACTTTTAGGTGCATTGTGTAACTTTTCTGGTGGAGGGTTTGTCAAAATCTGGAAAGTTACAGGTCAGATCTGTGGAGAGGCGATCCCGCTCACAGTCAGAACGTCTGTTTTTCTAGATATTTTTGAGCTATAAAACTACCTGAATTTTAATAAATCTAAAGTAGAGCTGTTTAATGTCATACTGTGGAACATTTCAAGCAGAGTGATCACATATCCATAGAAACCAGGGTATTTAAGACTTTTTAAAGACCTTTTTAAGACCACTTAAATGAAAATCAAGACCAACATCACACTCTTTATGTGGGCAAAAAACACCAGATCCAATTCTAATAATGACCAAACAACTACTATATCTAGAATTTCAGAGCCACTGTGAATTAAACTGACACTTCTCCATGATCCATCCAGCGTCTTCCTCCACTCTACTGATTGTTTACACATTGCCGCCGGTGCCAGAAACCAAAGTATTGTTTTTGCATACTCTAAATTTTTGTTTTTTTTCCTCCCCCTTTTAAACATTGCACTGCTCCTGGTCGAGTAAACAAAAAAATAGGCTAATGAAATTTAAGACCTTTGTGAAAAAAATAAGACTTGGACAACATAATTTAAGACTTTTTAAGGCCTTAATTTAGGAACATTTAAAATTTAAGACCTTTGTAAGACTTTTAAGACCCCGCGGCTACCCTGGAAACAAGCAGGTGACAGGCCCCGAAACAAAAAAGTTACACAGCGCACCTTTATGTCTTTCATTCTCCTATTTATTTGTTTCAGTTAATGTTTTTATTAAGCACTGTAATGTGTAAGTATAAATATTGTCCACACTTTGTAGGCAAAATCAAATTCAAATCAGTTTCAAATGACGATTTACCTACATTCCTTTCATACTCCACCATCGTATCGTAAAAAGTTACGATGACAGGACTAAATACACATGGAAACGATCAGCTTTCAGGTTGTTATTTTAATACGACTCACCTCGTTTGCCAGACTGGACTGTTCCTCTGTGGTTTTGGACAGAAGCTCTGAAGCGGAGTCCAGTGTCTCAGAATAAGCCTTATTCAACGCAACCTGGAAAACGAGAAAGAGGTTTTTATAACAATTCACAAGACTTTAAAAAACAAATACATTGATACTTTGCAGCTGATGTCGTCAACGTTCCCTGGGTGTGTGATGCTAACTGAGGCACTGCTCTGACTGAAGCTCTGTTAAAATATAGATCAGATTAAAGTCTAACACAATCTGACCATAAATAAGTCCACAGCTCGAACTATGACAGGTGAGCTGATTTCTGTTGTTTAAACTTGTTTAAAGTCTCTCACACGTAAAATTACAATCACAAATAACTAGAATTATCCAACAGTTTCAACAGGTTTTTTTTCCTAAGCAGGACCATGAATGCTTGTATTGATCACAGGCTTCTCCTGAAACTTCTGACAGTGTTTGCTAATGTTTGTGTGCTCTGTGTCACCATGGTAACTGCTGAACATTCCGTTAGAGAGATACATGTAGAGCATCCCCAGCATAACGTCACTGCAAAGTATCAATACCCACACGCTGCAGCCTCAGTATATTCTAAAGCATGACTGGTTTATGATTCTGTGATTCTGCTGCATAAACTCTGGGCTGTTCCAAAGTTCTGGCACCTGTTCGGGGTGAGCTTTTCGCAGCGCGCACAACAGTTCTTGCTGTGATCCCACACACTTCTCCAGCTCAGCGATTTCAGCGGAACAGTGTTTTCTCAACTGGTCCATCACAGCGTAGGCCTTCAGAAGAAAGAGACGAGGCTCATTAGAAAGAAAGAGACTGTGCAGCATTAGAACAACTTTTACATTTGATTTTATCTTGGCCACTCGGGCTGCAATCGATTAAACACATGTGCTGCTGATTGATTAGTCGACTAAAAAGGGGCCATAAGCAAAAACTTTCAAAACTATTAGGTATCTCTATGTATCTGATCCAGACTGGACTCGTAAGACTACACCCGCACCAGAGTTCATACAAAAACTATTTATGCAGAAAAATGCAATGTCCAACAGTATCAGGTGAAAAAAAAAAAGAACAAAATAATCACACAGGACTGAAAAATTGCAGAATCAATGAGCCAAAAAATAAACCTGAGGTGAGATAAATTTGACTTTAAGTGACCAATGAGTTCCTTTATTTTCACACGTGTCACTGAAATAAACAAATCTGACTGGACGATCACGTTTGTTTGGCTTGAGGCGGAATGGAGGGAGTTGGGACCAGATTAAAGACAGATATCATTCTGGACTTCTGAATAATATCAGGAAATCGTATTTGGTGTCAATATTTTTTAGAAAAATATTTTTAAAAATGCCAAATCTTCAGCTAACTCACTAACTTTTCCTGCTTCCTTGTTGTCGTCCCATATAAATGTTCATAATCGATTCTAAATAAAATGATTCAGTCAACTAAAACAAATTTTAAACAACTAAGAAACCATCGGCCGATTATAAAAACTTACAGCGTCTTTAGCAGAGAACGCCTCCTCCATCTGTGTGCGCATGTCCTCTCTGTCCTGGAAAGCGTCCTTTACCTTCTGTATCATTCTCACTTGAGTCTCCTTCGACCTCCCCACGAGCGACTTCATCCGAGCGTACTGAACACAACAAAAAGACCGAAAATAAAAGGTAAAATAAAAATAGCTGTCACATTTGAAGTAGGATATATTGTGGAAGAAAATATAGATGATAAACGATACTATTGAATGCCATTATGACACAGAGATGATAATCCAAGCAGGTTCTCCTCAAAAAATCTATTCTATTTGTACAGTTTTGTTCATGAACATGAGCTAAAATACAAATGAAACACCTAATGAGTCATAGAAGTTACTGATTCAACCCTCTACAGCTCAAATCTTCAGAAAAGTACAAAAACTAGTAATAATTGTCCCATCGGTCATGTACTGAGTGAGAAGTTGATATAATATTTATCGTGACAAGGCCTATAGATGTGTTTAATTTTCCTGCATGAATACGTACATTTGAAACAAGGTTATCATGGTCTTCTGTAACAACATTTCCAAGTTGTTTCATTTGACGTAGAGCTGCTTCAGTATCGTGGGTCAGCACAGTCTGCGTGGAAAAAGGAAATTGGGACATTTACATACATTTCCACATTTACTTAAAAATAAATATTAGGGGTGTAACAATAATCGAAATATCGTGATATCATATCGTCAAAGTTCTAACAATAATAACGTGGACCATCACAATATATCGAATTACAAGTCTCTTTGGTTAAATTAAGAGCTATGGTGCAGCAACAGCTAAAAAAAAAGACAGAGGGAACTACATAAACCATGATCCTTTGCTCTATTTCAGTGTAGACTACAAGAAGAAATAACAGTTCTAACACTTTTAAGTCTTAGTTCTTTGGATTAAGTCTTGTCAAGGCATTTTAAGAGGAAAAAGTATCATATTAACAGTTTTGTTTGTTTTGCCTCCACAAAATATCACAATAAATATCGTACAGAGAGATTTGGATATCGTGACATCCCTAATCGTGAGCCTCCCCACCATATCATGAGCTTTCCCACGACATCGCAATAAATATTTTACCATGAGAATATCGTATCGTGAGACTTGGATATCGTTACATCCCTAATAAATATGGATCTTTTTTCTTACCATATTCGTCTTCACATTCTGCATGTACTCAGTGAGACTTTGTAGTGAACTGGCATCCATCTCCAACTCTTGAATTCTGTTCAGAGCTTCCAAGTACAGGTCCCTGTGCATCGACGTCTACAAACAAATCACACCTCATTGTTAACGGAACTATATCAGGGTATCCCCAGGTTTGACCATCCCAAATTTAAGATCCTTTTAAGGCCAGTTAAATGAAAATTAAGACCAACATCGCACCCATTATCCAGATCCAATTCTAATAATGAACATTACCCACTAATTTAAAAAACAAAAAATACTTTCATTATAAAATCTCATTCAGAACTCATTTTTAGTAGTATGCGCTTGCTTGTAAAACGGCCAAAAATTCATTTAAAACATTCTAAGAAAACAAACTAAGTATTGTTTGTGCATACTCCAAATTAGACGTTCATTTCCGTTATGTGATTTCACATTGTTTTTTTTTTTTCCCCTCCATTTAACATTGAACTGCAGCCCGGCTGAATTTACAAAAAATAGGCTAATGAAATTTAAAACCTTTGTGAAAAAAATAAGACTTGGACAACATAATTTAAGACTTTTAAGGCCTTAATTTAGGAACATGATATTCAAGACCTTTTTTTAAGACTGTACCTGTATATTACGCTAAATTTGAGCCGTCTTACAATGTTACCTCCTCAAAAACAGACCTGGAGTTGTGTTTTGTTTCATTCACACATGTTTGAGTAACCGTTTATTAATAGTCTATCCACTCTCCATTTTCCAAAGCTCAAAATGCTCGGCTCCACCTTGTGATGTCAAAATTTTGTTCAGTAGAGATTGGCAATTCCAGGGCTGAAACTATCCAAATGATTCTAGTCAAGGTGTATGGAGTTTAAAAACACAGTGGAGCTCTTCCTATATTACCACAAGACATCACAAGGTGGAACAGAGTTTTCTTTTTGAGTGTTAAACATGTGAATGAAACAAAACAACTATTATATTTTTGATGAGGAAACAACATTACAGCATAGATCAGAAAACAGTGTACTAATACGAGCCTTTTAATACTTTACAAGCATTCACAGTTGAACAATACAGTCTCAAGGCCTCTCCAAAGACATTACCTGGTTGAGTTCTGTGTGCTCCGTCTGCGCTGCCCTCTCTCGGAGCTGTGACGGGGCAGTTCCAGCAGGGGGCAGTGTCTGAGCTCGAGCTGCTCCCAGCTGCTGCACCAGAGCCTCCACAATGATCATGGAGGAGAGCAACCGCTGCTCCAACTCAGGCCTGGGAACGCTCTCCAGACTCCCAACCGGGACACTGAAAATGTTAAAATGAAGAGAATAAGACATAATTCAAGTATAAAGAGGGGGATTTTACTTCTATGGGGTATTAACTGCAAACACATAACATATTTAGCTCACCATGTTACCCTTTATTGTTTTGAAAATGCTATATTTGCCAGAAAACAACATATTAATATCTTTCATAAATTTCATTTTTGTTTTTACTCTGAGTCTCCTCTCCTTTTGCTCCCCATTTTAGGTCACTCTCCCTTCAGAGCGCTATCACAACACAATCATTCATCCCATTAATGAAACTACTGCACATTGCATGAGTTTGTCAAGTTACTGTGTACAGTTTTGTATTTGCTGAAGCCTAAACCCAGTTTCGTATTTTTTTTTTTTTATTAGAGATAATTATTCTTATTTTGTTTGATTTAATATTTACTTTAAATGCATGATTTTTGGTAATTATGGTGATTCTTTATGATTAACGTGATTATTTGTTAATTATTTGCTTAAAAATAATTTGATCCATTGACATTTTTATTTCAATTAATTATTGCTAATGTTAATCATAAGTTTACCTAAGTAAGGTTTATTTTTTGTATTATTTTGTGGTCTATGGCTCCTACAAGTGCAGATGTGCCATGGGAGAGTGAAGTGGAGACAGTTTTTTACCTCCTGTCACTCTTTACCTGTTAAAGTTTGCCTTTTGTGTGATTCGTATGTCCTCAATTATATGTGAATACTCAGTAAAGAGTTTTTAAAGGCACTTGGATCACTCTCTGTGAATTTATTTCACTATTGACACTTTTTAAAAGGTGGAACAAGGTGGAACAAGGTGCACAGCGCGTCAGTCTATAGCTTCACAAATGTTTGGACTTTATAGTATATTAATGGAGAATTGTTGTGTGAGATCATGGGTGACGTAGGCTTGTGGGTGGAGCATTGCACAGAATCTTACAGCTAATCTGTAAGGAGGATTCAAATATGGCCCAGGGGAGACCGCTAAATTACAGAAACATGCATGGGTGACATCTACAACCTCTTCAGGCATGTTTTTGATGAGGGAACAACGTTAAAACATAGTAAAAAAGCGTAATCATGCCCCTTCTTTAACTGTGTCTGTTACTTACTTCCACAGGAGCGGGTCCGTCAGCGTCCCCTGATCTTCAACAGAGACGTTCCTCTTTCTCTCAAACTGTCCGGACGTATTGATGCTGTGATTGACCATCTTCATCGGCGTCGTGCCCACAGAGACGCTGTGGTGTTCGGCTTTGGGAGGCGGGGGTGCGGGGGTGGGCACGTGCACGGGGCCCATCTTTCCCGACGCCAACATGAGAAACTCTGCCATCTGTCGGAGTTGCTGCTGCAGTGGACCTTCTGGTATCACGGGGACCTCTGCAACAGCCTTAGCAACCACAGGCTTGACAGGGGAAACATCTCCATTCGCTTCCATGACGACGCACGCCTGTGACCTTTGAACCAGCTCTGTGGAGTTGAAGAGAGGCCGCGGCAACGGGCTGTCAAGCTGCTCTCTCCATAACTCAGCAGGGTTAAGATCATCCTGGTCTATACCCAGTTCCTTCTGAGCCTGCTTACAAGCCAAGGACGCTCTTCGGACAATGGGAGTGAGGAATTTCAACTGGAGAGGCGTGCATTCCGACATGGCCTTAAAAACATCAGGAAGGGTTTCGGCTTGTGTTGGCTCGGTAGCGACAACGGGAGCTGGAGCGTTAGAGGACAAACCGAGAGCGCTGTCTGCTGTATCACTGCCTTGACTAGGACGAACACTGGAGTGGACTTCCGATTCACTTTCTGATCTATTCCTCTCTTGATCATCGGGATTAGGGTCGGATGGAGCGGATATGGCCTCGTGGTGGGCTGAATGTCGTGATAAACCCATAGAACTGAGCTCGAGGTGTGATTTTTCTTGTGTAGTTTGTTGGTGATTCTCAGATTGACAAGTCTTGAATAATGGAGGCGCATCTTCGGTCAGTGAGGCATCCACGATTTCATTTTTTATTACTTGTAATGAGCCGTTTTCTTCAAGCTTATGCTCAGTTTGCTTTAGTACGCTGTTGGTAGCCAGTTGACAAGATTGCTCCTTCATGCTTGTATTACAACTTTCGTCATCCAGTTTAGGGTTAATCGTAGAATCATCTTTGTCATCGTCTTCTTTTTCCGTCTGATCGTTCTCATTCAAAACTTCACGAACGTTTGACTCATTTGTGACGTGAAAACTGGCCATTTCTCCTTCATTACAGCAGGGATGTGATTTGTCTTGTGTAGTTTGTTGGTGATTTTCAGATCGACTAGTGTTGAATAACAGAGATGCATCATCTGGCAATGAGGCATCCACAGTTTCATTTTTCATTACTTGTAATGAGCCGTTTTCTTCAAGGTCATTCTCAGTTTGTTTTGATAAATTGTTGGTAGCCAGTTGCTCTTGACAAAATTGCTCCTCAGACACAAACGAAGCTCCCTTGACGCTTGTATTACAACTTTCGTCATCCAGTTTAGGGTTAATAGAATCATCTTTGTCATCGTCTTTTTTCTCCGTCTGAGCTTTCTCACTCAAAATTTCACAAACACTGGAATCATTTGTGACGTGAAAACTGTCCACTGCTCCTTCATTATAGTAAGGGTATGATTTTTCTTGTGTAGTTTGTTGGTGATTTTCAGATTGACTAGTCTTGAATAATGGAGGCGCATCTTCGGTCAATGAGGCATCCACGATTTCATTTTTTATTACTTGTAATGAGCCGTTTTCTTCAAGGTCATTCTCAGTTTGTTTTGATAAGCTGTTGGTAGCCAGTTGCTCTTGACAAAATTGCTCCTCAGACACAAACGAAGCTCCCTTGACGCTTATATTACAACTTTCGTCAACCAGTTTACGGTTAATCACAGAATCATCTTTGTAGTTGTCTTTTTTCTGATCTTTCTCATGCAAAATTTCACGATCACTTGACTCATTTGTGACGTGAAAACTCTCCAGTGCTCTTTTGTTACAGTAGGGGTGCTCTGTATGATCAACTTCCTCTGTGAAAATGGCTGAATCTTTGCCATCGCTGTAACTCTCAGCATCACTCCCGCTCTGCTCAGCTGGTAAAGGAATAGTTTGGTCATAAAGACACTCAGGGTCTGCGATTTCGATCTCTCCTCCCGTACAGTTCAGAAATTTCAACGTTATGTCAGTAATTGCGTCAGTTGCTTTGTCGTCTTGTAAAATGTCCCCCGTGCTGATTACAGATGGCGCACCGTCTTCTCTCTTGCAGTAAAGGTGGTCCAGTTTTTGTTCTTCGAAGTTGAAGTCTTCAGTGACATCCGAGATACAACTTGAATCAAGAGTTTGGATATATTGTGTGTATTCACTAAGCCCTGGTGGAGGCAAACAAAACTGTCCTCTGCTTTTTTAACAAGCTCGCCTGAAATTTCCACTTCCCCGCCATCACACTCATATGACTTTAACGTTATATTATTAGGAGAATTAGAAGTTGTACGCTCAGTGTCCGGCTCTTCAGTGTTGTAAGAAGTTTGCTCCTGGCTGGACTGGGCTTTCGTACCATCAGTGCCGTTCGCAGAGGCGTTTTTCAGAGCGTCTTCGAGTGCAACAATTACCTGGTAAACACAACATATCACCAGTTAACATATTTAAAGGTGCACTATGTAACTTCTTGGTTTTGGGGCCCGTCACCTGCTTGTTTCTATGGATATTTCATTGTTTGTTTGAAATGTTCCACAATATGATATTAAACAGCTCTACGTTACGTTTATTAAATTACATGTGGTTCTATAGCTCAAAAATCCCTAAAAACACAGGCATTCTAACTGTGAGTGGGATTGCCTCTCCACAGATCTGACCTGTAACTTCGTCTGGTTTGGTCTCCATGAAGGTAGAAAGGTTTAATGCCATACTGTGGAACATTCCAGACGAAGCGATAACATCACCAAGGAAGAATGTATTTGACAGACACTCCAGCAGAAAGTTACACAATGTACCTTTAATTTGTTAGAAAAAAAATAAAAAATACAAACAAAATATAAAAGTAAGGCCGCACAAGAAGACAAAAGATGCAATATTCCATAATTATGTTCTGTATTGACATAACAATATTATTGCAATTTTAGATAAATAAAAACTTGTAAATCTCTGATTTACTTGTGAAACTGTGTCAAAATTTTGAGAGACTAAACCAAGATTTATCATGAATAAAATCTCCCTTTTGTCAATTTTTCTTTGAAAATTCAATACATTTCTGTAAAATGGAGAACGTCATGTTGTTGCGATATGTTTCCTTTCACCCAATATTGTGATATTGATATTTTTCTGATATATTGTGCAGCTCTGATAAACATAAAAACATAATTACCCTGGTATGTTTCACTGGTTCAGAACTGACGAGGGGTTTTGATTTGGCGGTGGAAGATTCTGTTGCCGGAAGAATTTCATTTTGTAGACTTCTCAAAGGAGTTCGCGCTCCACTTCTGCTGAAAGACTGCTACAACAGAGACCAGAGATAAAATAAATAATAAAAAAAATATGAAATCTCAGTCCTCTACGTACAGTAACATTTTAATTCTAAGTGACTGCTTAAAATGCATTTCAGTGTTTCTGATTTGTTGTGGTGGCTTCCTATGGTCTGTTTTTTGCCCCAATGGTCTAAAAACAAGCCGAGCAGTAAATTGGTATTAAAATGCTGGATAGGTTGAACTAATAATTTTACAAAAACACAGTTAAGATAATTAACAAAAAAAGAGGAGAATATGCCAAACATAAAATTTTCCCTAATTTTCAGTAATATGGAACTCTCCACCTCCTGTCATTTTTAACATATTTTTCAGCTTTTCATCACAAATTGCTTCTTGGTTGGTGGAAAACTGTATTATGTAATAACAACAGGTATTATACAACCAAATTCTATCAAAACCTATCATGCACACTTTAAACAATGATAAAAAAAGTAACTGTTTCATCTTTAAACACTCCTTTTTGATCAGTACAGGCAGTAAATCACATAAAAACACTTACCAAGGCGTCTCCAGCAGAAGCCGACAGTCGGAATGACATTCTTATTTCTATTCACCAGCCTAAAGAATAAAATAAAAATACATTTCCTAAGCCGATGTCAGTCTTTGTGATCATAAAACTGGTCCAACTGGGAGATTTGTGAAGATTTAGATACTTTTAAAAGCAGAATAAACATCCGATTAATAATTCTTCCTACCTTTTAATAAAATAAGCCCTTGTCAACACTGGCATTTGATGGCACCATAAATAATACAGCAAAAGAAAGTGACATTAGCTACTAGACTAAGGTAAATTCATATTACATCATTACTAGGGTGACCAGACAGTCCCAGTTTTGAGCCCTGTGTCCCCTGTCCCAGCAGATTTATCCAAAACCAGTAATTTGTCCCAGTTTTGTACAAGAAATGTCCCAGGTGTCCCTATTTTTGACCAATCTGATCCCCACCAACAGTAAAGAGAGGCATAAATTGTCATTTGTTAAGGTAAAATATAAAAAAATCTGCTTAAAAATGACCAAAACACAAAGAAAATGTGACTATACTGACTCATGTTCGTCATGAATGGTCTCTGCAGAACAATTTTCCTTCATTACGCACTTGCTTCACAATTTTATTATTACCAACCACAAAAAACGGGGATGTTCCAGTTTTTATTTTGACATTCTGATCACCCTAATCATTACTAAACTTAATATAACGTCAGTTTACCTTTTTGTTAATCAGGAAACTGCTCAAAAAACATATAAGATACTTTCAGAAGCAGTTGAACATCCTACTAATAATTATTCAATATGCACTCTAATAAAATAAGCCCCATTTGTCAACATAGAAATTTAATGGAAGCATAAATAATTCAGCTATTGAGTGTAAATTTAGGTATTAGATTAAGGGCAACTTTTACTACAATATAAGTAAAACTATTTAATACGGAGTCAGTTTACCTTTTTGTTAATCATGAAACTGTCAAAAACCATATAAGATATTTCCAGAAGCAGTATAAACATCAGATTAATAATTATTCCTACCCTTTAATAAAATAAACCCTCAACATAAGCATTTGATAACACAGTCATAGAAAGTGATGTCAGCTACTAGAATAAGATAAATTCATATTACATCATTACTGAAATACTGATTATAAAGTCAGTTTACCTTTTAGTAATTTCTCGAGTTTTTTTTTTTTGTGTTGTTTTTTAAATCAGGAAACTGTTAAAAACCATATAAGATACTTTCAGTAGCAATATAAACATGTTATTAATAATTATTCAATATACACTTTATACACTTTAAGATCCGTTTGTCAACACGGGCGTTTGACGGCAGCATAAATACAGCTACTGAATATAAATTTAGCTTTTAGATTAGGATCAATTCATGTTACAACATAAGTAAAATAAGTTATTATGAAATCCGTTTACCTTTTTGTTGATCAGGAAACTGTCAGAAACCATAAAAGACACTTAAGAAGCAGAAGTTTAAACAGAAGTATAAACAGAAGAGATGACGACCGCGTTGGTTTGATTCGAAACACAAATCTCTGCGCTCTGATTGGTCCGTCTCTCTTCTTCGTCGCAATATATGGTACGGCAGCAAGAGCATTACTGCCCCCTCCTGGAGTTGGATATTTTTTTGTCATTTTTACTCATACGGTTTAGATAAAAACTAAACTTTAACATACATTTTAAAATACAGGTCTTCCTCTAACATAATTTGTATGTACTGTAATGCTACTTAGTCTGTGGGAAACACTGATATTGCCTTGTCCCCGATTGAAGTTTATTCATTTTACTCCCGTACCAAGATGGCGGCTTTGTTTTCGGGTATGAATCGATAGTATTTTTACTATTTTATTTTATTTTATTTTCTTAAGAGACCGGTGGTAGGGTCAGTAATAACAGCACAAAAGGTTTTTAACTCTTAATCATTAAAAAAAAAAAAAAAAAAAAAAAAAAAAAAAAAAAAAAAGTAATAATCATGCTTGCTGGTACTTCTTCTTCTTTTTTTAATAGATATAAAAGATATAATAGTATTTGTCTTACTTTTTTCTTACTATATTTTACCAGATTGCCTGCAGTGTGGTTTTTGGCTCCAGACCGACCGGTGGTTGTAGACCCCTACTGTAGAGTTCTCTTCTGTCTAAATTGATCAAAACTCAAGGCTGTTTTTAAAGTTTTAGTTCCATTAATCTAACAAACCCCAACTCTCATAACATATTTGGACAGTTATCTACAATGTTATGATCATACTGCACATGTTTGTGTACATTAATGTTTTTTACAACGTCTATTTTGATTTAACATTTTATTTTTTATGCAGTTTGTGAATTTCTTTCAATAACAATAAATTACATTAGATTATAGAGTACATTACGATATTTGTACTTTAATTATTGCGTATACATTTATATAATTTATGTCTTTATTGATGCCAGTCTCTTGATATTTTTTACTGCTACTTATTTAATAATTACCATTGTTTACATGTTTTTTACTCTTTGTTATTGTAATGTGATGTGTGAGCTACTGTGTCCAAGTAATTTCCCTTGTGGATCAATAAAGTTTGTCTAAGTCCAAGTCTGGATTGGTCTTTATTGTCTTCTTTATGGAGAAATAGCAATACCTTGTCTGTGCCTCTACACATTTTTACTATAACTGTAATGCAACTGCTTTAAATAACAAATATGCAAATAAATAAATATAAATCTTTCTTTATTGGAAAGAAAATGCAAAAAAACATCCAGTCTCCCAACATAACTTAGATTTTTTTGGTAGTACAAGCACTTTTTAAACTCATTTTCACTCTGAGCTCTTACAAGGCATTTTAGTTGCTTCTAGTGAGTCTTTTGCCACTCCACTGAGCTGCTGAACGGCTCGAATTTGCAAAACCTCTGCAAAATCCTGTCCGAACCAGCAAGTGACATCAGCCGTGTCCAGTGTGAAGTAGAAGAGTTTGTCTGTACAGCGCCCCCTCCTGTAAACAGAGCGCGGGTCGGCAGACAGCACACCCCTGATGGCAGCTATGGCCTCGTCTGTACTGCGCAGAAACTTGAACCTGGGTCCCTCTCCTTCTTTGCATCCTGTATTAAAAAAGAGTTTAAAAATTATTACAACGATTTATCAGATGTTGAAAATGGACTATGAATTTAAAATGTCCTAGATTACGCAAAGCTGATGCATCAAAAACATCCCTAGTGTTGTGTTTTGTTTCATTCACACACGTTAAAGTAATCAATTATTAAAAAATTATTAGTCTGTCTAAATCTCCACATCTCAAAATGCTCTGTTCCACTTTATGATGTCATGAAGTGGTAGTTTTCAAGGATTGTTGCAGGATCTGTGTGTTAAACATGTGTGAATGAAACAAAACACAACTCCAGGTCTGTTTGTGATGAGGAAACAAGAAAAACATAAATCAGAAAACAGCGTAACATGGGCCCTTTAATCAACAGTTTCAGATTTAGTCAAAAAGTGTAATTATTTATCTCATTTGTTTAGGTAAAATACAGAAAAGCTGCTTAAAAACGACCAAAACACAAAGAAAATGTGACTATAATAGCTCACATGTTAGTCATAAATGGTCTCTGCGTATTCGTTTCAGTTTTATTATTACAAACCACCAAAAAAAATTTTCCCAGTTTTTTTTATTTTGAAATTCTGGTCCCCCTAGTCATTATATTTTTATTATATTCAACATGTATTCTAATAAAATAAGCCCCGTTTGCCAACAAAGGAGTTTAAATCAAAGTTTAAATCAGAGTTAAATCAGAAAATAGCATTACATGGGCCCTTTAATCAACAGTTTCAGATTTAGTTGTATTAAAAATGTATTATTTAGACATATTTTTACCTGCTGGAAGAAACTGCGCAAGCTCTTTCTCAGCATGAGCAGTGAATCGAACTTCCAAACTTGAAACTGGAGGCTCCCTGATCCAACTGGCGATGGTACTGTAAGCCTCTTCCCCATAACACGGCCTCTCTGACGAAGACTCCGATGGATTTTTTGGACAATTGGGAACTTTATTCTTCTCCTCCTCTTCTAAACTAACGTCCCTTTGACTCACGTAGGTCTTGACTTCCTCCAACGCACTTTGTAAATGAGTTAAAGGATCATTGTCAATCGCTTCTCCAACAAAATGATCACGTTCTAATTTCTGTCGTTTAGTATCTTTTCTAATATCTTCATTTTCTAGCTTTGGGAAATCCACATCTGTCTCTTCTATAATTGGACACTCTTCATTCTGAACTTCAGTTTCTGCTCTGGACTGAATGGAGTCGTAATCTGGAATGTAAGGTTTGATGTCCAGCACAGGGGTCCCATCGATCATGTCAATGTCCGACAGATAAAGAGTGTCACCTGCAGAAAGAGAACACACGGGTGGTCAACTTTAAAGGTCCTATATTAGACAAAATTGACTCTTGTGAGCTTTAAGACATGTTTGAATGCATTTACCTCCTGAAAATCAAACCAGGGGTTGTATTCTGTTTCATTCACATGTTTGAGAAATCCTTTTGTTCAGTAGAGATTGGAAATAGGCTCTATTCACGATTACGTCACAAATCAGGAAGACGTTACGAAACATGCAATGACAACTGTGATCAAACCCACTGAAGTAAATGTGATCAGCGGTAAAATGAAGACTGCATATGTATGTGTTGTTTGGAATCATCTTGAATTTGTCACCTTCATCTTTTCTAATCTCATGCACCCAGTGCACTGGAGATGATGAAAACTGAGTTTGGTTGTATTTGTTGATTAGCCGAACATGACAGAACACTACAATGACATGTAGGTGAAGAAAACTGGAACATTTTCTCATTTTCCCTAGATTTTGTCAAATTAATGTTACATTCTTTTGTACTTGGGAGTCAGGGAAAACCTCTACCACCTCTAAAAAATGCAATGGAACGGCCAAACAAATCAGGCTTCTGAAATACAAACTCAGGTTAGTTCGGTGCAGACTGAGTTGGTTGGATTTACGTCATAACAAAAATGTCGGTGTATACAGTAAACAGGGAGAACTGTCTTTTCGTAATTTTGATGTGTTAAGTTGTGTATGTGTAGAGAAAGTCTTCTAAAAACTGTGTAGTTACATTAAGACTTTCTTTCACATCATTTCATAGTAGAAAGAAGTTTTTTTCTTAGTCACTGCCATAATTGAGTCGCCGACAACTAACATTAACTAACAGATTATTTATTAGCGGGAGATAGCGATACATGACTTTACATTAAAATTTCTCAGTCATCCATATTTATATCCATATATCCATCCATATTTTCCCCAACTGTTGCAATGGAACGCATTAACAACGGATGTCGGGAGAACTGAATCGGATTTATCGACTACAGACATTCAATAGAACGTGGCATTACTACCACAAACAGAGTCCGCCAGAAGGTGTCATTGCATGTTTCCAAACGTCTTCCTGATTTGTGACGGAACTGTGAATAGACCTGCCATTATTCATATAGTTCTAGTAAAAGTGTATGGAGTATTTTCTGTTTGAGGGAAAAACTCAGCCTTAATATGCAGGATTTGTGCGTTAAACGTGTGTGAATGAAACAAAACAACTCTGGGTATGTTTGTGGTGAGGAAACATTATAACAGATCAGAAAATAGTGTAACCCAAAACCACTTAAATAGAAAACTGACCTTGAACTTGTCGAGTTTCGCCAGTGTCAGACCTAAAGCGTTGGGTCTGTGCGGACTGCGCGTCGAGTAAACTCCAACCTTCTGACCATCGAGTCTTGGAGGCTTCACTTTGGCTTTAGCAGAGAGGTGACCGTTTTTATGGAAGACAAAAATTATCCTGCAGAAAAAAAGATAATTAATTGAACAAATAACAATTCCAAACCTAAAAAAATCGTTCTCCCATCATGATTATTACTATATCAGCTCACAGCTCAGTACATGACAGAAATGATTATTTTTGGGAGTTGGTATTTATCCTTTTTCTTTATACTACTGGGAAATTTGTGTTTAATTTCCTGAACTACAATGAGATGTGAGCTGTAGAAGGTTAAATTATGAACTTCTATGACACAGATGCAAGCCGACTACTTAACTGTTGCATTCTGTTATTTATTTTATTGCAGTTTGTCCCTCCTCTAATATAAATTACCATATTTTTCTGACTATAAGTCGCACTTTTTTTCATGGTTTGAGTGGTCCTGCGATTTATGTTTGGTGCGACAAAAAATATAATCGAGCAGCAGAAAGAAAGTTTGGAGTGAAAGATAAACTTGTGGGGGACTGGCGAAGGGCAAGGATTTAAAACACAGCTTCACAAAAACCGGGAGGGTGCACCATGCAACTTTCCTGGAAGTCACTGGATGGATCAAAGCCTGGACTTCAGTGACACCGAAACAATCATGTCGGGATTCAGAAAGGCCGGAATAATTCTAACTGGAACTGATGCGGAGTCTGACGACAGCTACACAGAAGAGGAAGCGGCGCTCTGTTTACCTCCGGAGGTCACAAAGTTGGTCAGAAGTGACACCGAGGATGAAGGCTTCAATAGATTTAGTGATTTGGAGTGAGATGGAGAGTTTGTTAAACTTGACTGTTCTGTTGTTTATGTTATAGTTTATCTGAAGAACTGTTCATATGTGACGTTAACAGTCTGTTGTTCTCTGTTCTATTGTTTTTACTAGAACTTGCCTTTCAGGGTGAAATGTCAGTTCAATAGTCTCTGATTTGATAAAATAAATTTCCCCAAAAAAGTGCGACTTATATATGTTTTTTTTCCTTCTTCAATTATGCATTTTTTGGCTGGTGCGGCTTATACTGCGAAGCAACTTATAGTCCAAAAAATATTGTAATAAGAAGAGAGTCAAATTATGGGCCCCTTAAACCCTGGGACAACAGACCCCTTTGTCCCCCCGTCTACTGCCCTGAGTGTTCGTACCAGACGTGAGAGTATTGTTCGAGTCCCACTAAAGCGTGCTCGGGGTTGTTGAAGACGCTGTGCTCGATGCGCAGCTCAGCCCTGGACGGACCGCAGATGGTCGGCTGTCGGGGGGTCCCGTTCTTTACAGAGAAACAGGAGCTGAGGAAACCGATGGGAACTGTCTGAATGACACCTTTAGCATTAGAAAACATGAATGAAGAGATTATTTACAAATGTCATTATGAAAAGTGCTGAAATTATAACTTAACTTTGTGATTACCTTGTTCCAATGCACTCACTGGGGAGGCCGAGATGTTTGTTGGAGTCTGAGCTTTACAAAAATCCTTCAGATCCATTTTGGAAACAACAGACTGAAGAGATACCATATGTTTACGATGGGCTCGTGTTGCACTGTCCAACATTTGCCTTAAAGAAATAAATACCAAACACCAAATTAAAGGTGAACTATTGAGTTGGATTATGAAACAAAATATTAAGCAAGTAAAATGTATTTTTTTAAAGGTCCTATATTACGCTTTAAGCCATGTTAGAATTTTGTTACCTTATCAAAAACAGACCTGGAGTTTGAGTAACCCTTTATTATTAATCTGTCTACATCTCCAAAGCTCAAAATGTCCTTTTCCACCTTGTGATGTCATGAAGCTGTAGTTTTCAAGTTAATATCTACATTTTACCTTTAGTTCAGTAGAGATTGGCAATTCCAGGTCTGAAATTTTCCAAATGATTCTAGTGAAGGTGTATGGAGTTTAAAAACACAGTGGAGCACTTCCCGTATTACCACATGACATCACAAAGTGGAAAAGAGTGTTTTCTGTTTAAGAGAAGAACTAAATATGCAGTGTCTGTGTGTTAAACATGTGTGAATGAAATAAAACACAACTCCAGGTCTGTTTGTGACGAGGAAACAACATTATAACTTCAGAAAATAGCAAGTTGTTGTTTTGCAAGTCTCAAGTCTTTGACCTCAAGTCCAAGTCAAGTCCCAAGTCAAATAAAGGCAAGTCCAAGTCGAGTCTTGAGTCACTGGCCCCTAAGTCCAAGTCAAGTCCAAGTCGTCTGCTTTGAGCTTCAAGTCATTTCGAGTCTTTAAACCAAAGAATCAAATATCGCTTCGATTTTTGCAATTTATATGACTTTTAAACTAAACTGTACTTTAAAAATCATGTCATAAGAGTTGTAGAAATGCTATTTTTTCCTTTTTAAATGTCTTGTCAAGAGTGTGAATTATTACGGTCAGAACAGAAAGACTTAAGATGTAAAAGTGCTTAATAACAGTGAATTTGTCAGCTAGTTTAAGCATCAAGTCTTCTCAAGTCCAAAGCAAGTCCCAAGTCGCTGACCTTCAAGTCCAAGTCGAGTCCCAAGTCCATTTCATCAAGTCAAGTCTCAAATCCAAAAAATAGTGACTCAAGTCTGACTCGAGTTCCCAAACACTGGAAAATAGTGTAATATGACTTTAATAACACCCCAACTTCCCATGCCAAGAACAACAAAGATGGACACAAATACACATAATAAATGACAATATCCAGCCTATCATGTCTGCTCTGTGTACAATATTTTCTTAGCACTTAGCATCAGACTAACAGCGGACGTACCTGAGGTTTTTGATTTCTTTTCTCATCACAGAAACCTGCTGGGTCAGTTTCTGGAGCTTTTCCTGACACGTGTCGCACCGCTGACTCATGATTTCTCTGTAAATGGGGGAGATGTAAAAAGATCCAAGCACAGACTGTACGGTTTATGGTCAAAAACATGGACCAAAGTAAAGCTCGTGTGGATGCGGAAGTGCGAGCGGTGAGGACAGCCAATCAGAAGCTCCACGTGTGACAGAAACAGTAAAAGCGCACGCGGACCCCGACAGGACGAATTTATCTGTGTAGAGTCTTGGATCTTTAATAAAATGTGTTATAGTTCTATATATAGAGCCCAAAGACACTGACAGAACCTACAACAAGAGCACTGCGTAAAAAGGTAATAAGTATGTAAGTATTAAACACGTCACTTGAAACAGGGACTCGGGTTACTGACAAATTTAGATCAGCAGATGGCGCTAAAACCTCACTTTTAACCAGGACTAATAACATTACAAACTCTTAGATACAGCAGCTTAGTATAGCTGTTCTGCTTAAGTGGTTACATAAAATGACTTCATTATATCGACATAACAGAAATGAATACTACACACAAATATAATATAATACAACACGCAAATGGTTAAAATATGAACATGCACGGCACTTTATTTAGTTCATCAAAAACAACTTTTTCAACTAAGAGTTCACATAATTAAACAAAAGCAACCAAAATAAAACAGCCTTTTTAATGTAAGAAAAAAGTCAAGACACAAACCTTAAATAAATAAATCTGAAGGTTTGTATAAAATCCATATTTAAATAAGCAAAGCAGTAGTCTTTAGTCTTTAGTCTTTAGTCTGCTAGTAGTCAGCATCATAGAAAAAGTCACTGGTGTTGACCGGCATGGATGCAATCAGACATTCTTTATAAAAGTAACTTTAAATTAAAAAAAGAAAAGTGAATTAATATGAATTCCCAGGCACATATTCCTGTTGAGGTGGAGGTGCAGATGACGATGTCGGGTCTGAGAGAAACGTAGTTTCTGCTGTGCTGATCTCTGGTTTCTCACTGTAACCTGGAACAGATAATAAGAAATGTATAGAATCATTATTGATGGACAAAGAGAATATGTGTATGTCTCTATATAACATCTGTATATCTCTCTTTACCTTCATCAGCTTGTTCTTCCTTTGATGGAAGATCTTCCGCCTCATCAGGACCCAGGTCTTCGATCAGGACCTGGTCTAGTGCAGGTTTAGTCTGAAGCTCTGTGAACATGGGCCCTCTGAGGACAGGGGGCACTGGAAGAGAAGCAGAGTCTGCAGCTGGGGAGACATCTTGGACCACAGCGGGAGCTATGTCCACGGCACGTCCCAAGGCAATGACAAGTGGTGGTGGTGCAGGAGTAAGTTCTTCATAGACAGGTACAGCCTCTGTCACTACTGCAGGAGCATCCTGAACCAGAACACTTTCATACTGTGAATCAGGGTTCACACTCGGCTCAGTCTTCCGCGGTCTTCCTCTTCTTCTTCCTCTTTTGGCCCCACTCCTCGCTCTCTTCTGTGGACTCTCCGTCCTGCACAAACACAGTACATTAAAGATTTCGCTTTGGTCTGTAACTTGGCAGAAGAGCAAAGTCTTTGACCTAGTACTGAGGCTTTACCGCAGACACCACAGTGACCTTTGCTTTGCTCTTGCCTCATGTTCAATATAAACCAGAGCTGATAAGAAGAGGTCTGATAGTGTCCGCACAGACACTCTAACGCTCTAAACAAGAGACATGTCACTGTATTTGCCTTCATGGAAGTATATTTTAACATTTGAAAGTTCATTTAAGATCCAACTTGAAATTTAATTTTAAAATTTATTTTAAAAAATGCTTTTGAAATATCTTTCAATTTATTTGAATCAATGTTCTTCACAGTTTTAAACTAAGACTACAGTCGCATAAGTGATCCTGAACCTGAAGTGATGATATTTGAATATATTTAAATTATATTTGAAGCACTGATTACAGATTCAAATGTGTTACTTCTATATGCGTATGATAACACTAGTGTTATCATACGCATATAGAAGCAACACTTCAGAAGTAAAAAAAAGTTTGTTTGTTTTTTCACTCAGCTGGTTTTTAGACTACAGGGGTGAATGTTGGACTAAAGGGGACCACCACAGTCTCCTCCATTAGTGGAAAACACAGTTTGAACATGCTAAGTTTTCTTACTTGAATCATTAGTAAATTAGTCTATGTAAACTGCAACAGTAACTTACCCAAAATCCCATTCATCAGTCTCCTTCTCCTCTGCTTCAGCCTTTCTCTTCTTCAGAAGGTCTCTGTCCCGCAGCCGGCGCCGAAAATCACCTTTAAATTACATTTATTTTAGACCTAGTAGCAAATACAGTTGTCATTGTGCGTTATATAATTATCTGTTTTGCATCACAGGCCCATGTTTCCCTTACCTTGCTCATTTTGGCTTTTATATTCCACTTCTTCTTCTTGAAATGTTTCTTTTTGTTCTTCTAGTTGTTTTTCCTGTGAGTCTTTTTGCACCGACTCCTCCATTCTGAGTCCCGCGATGAATGAATTCAAATCATAGAAGGCGGGCTGGAACCAAACAGACTGTATAACGCACAGTTACGCCGGTGCTATTCCCACCCCTAAATGAATTATCTGGTTAAACATTACCTAGTGCTGGGAGAGTTCTTGCCGCTTTGGCTCTTATCATGTTTGTAAAGCTGCAAGACTTGGCACAGGACACAGACCGAAGCTTAGAGTTGAGCGCCAATGCAATGGTTTCTGTTTGGAATTATAGATGATTAAACACTATTGATTCTACAGTTTGTGTTGGACCTGTAGAAACTTCAAACTTACACTTAAAGCTGCATTGTGCAACTTTTCTGGTGCACTGCATTTGCTTGTCTCCATGGTGATGTTATTGCTTTGCCCGTCATGTCCCGCTGTTTGGTATTAAACAAATAGAGCTTGTATTTATTTAATTACAGGTGTTTTTATTTCGCAAAACTAACGCAAAGACATGTGTTATTACTCTGAGCGGGTTCACTTCTTTCTTCACAGATCTGACCCGTAACTTGGCCTGGTGACGTGGCCTGTTCATCACCATGGAGATAGTTAAATTGAATGCCATACTGTAGAACATTCCAGAAAAAACATCACGTCAAGCAGGTGGGGGACCCTTTACCAGAAAAGTTACACCGTGCACATTTAAACTTAAAAAAATGTTTTGTTTTGTTTTGTTTTGTAAATAATGAAACAATTTTACTTCATACTAACCCCAAATACTTTTAAATTCTGTACAGGACACAGCTGAAGTGCTACAACTAAGGAATCCTGTCTCATTTTAGTTTGGACATACCCATCTTATCTTTGAGTCTGCCCATGGCTCGGTTGGGGTGTGTTTTCTCAATCTTCTCAGACCACATTGAGTCTGTGTGAGCTTTAAAGGGCTCATATTTTCTGATCTGTGTTATTATGTTGTTTCCTCGTCGCAAACAGACCGGAGTTGTGTTTTGTTTCATTTACGCATGTTTAACGCTCAAACCCTGCATATTAAGACTGAGTTATTCTGATATCACTGTGTTTTTAAACTCCATACACCTTCACTAGAATCATTTGGATAATTTCAGACCAGGAATTACCCATCTCTATTGAATAAAAGGTAAAAAGAAGCTTGAAAACTACCACTGCATGACATCACAAGTTGGAACAGAGCATTTTGAGCTTTGGGGATATAGACAGACTAATAATAAAGATTTACTCACACATGAAAATGAAACAAAATACAACTCCAAGCATGTTTTTGAGGAAGAAACAGCATTATAACATGGCTTATTGCCTTGAAAACCTTGCGTCTTTACTGTGAATGGGCTGTATCTCCACAAACCTGATTCTTTTTTGAAAAGTGAATTTTTTTTTGCCTGTAATATTCCACAGTATGGCATAAAAATGATTCATCTCTACAGAGAATGATAAAGTGTGGTTTTAACATTCTATTTTTGAAATTTTACTAGTGATATGCCACGTTTAATTATTGATAATTTATCCACTGCATAATAGTGCCGTAGCCCCTTATTTTATTTTGTCGTTTTTATTTTATTTTACTTGCAGTGCTCTGTCAAAGCCTGTTTTCTAATATTTATTTGCCTGATTTTTGAGTGTATATTTCTATTCTCTGTGTGTTGCAATACTGGATATCCCCTTTTTGGGACAAATAAAGACTCTCGTACCTCATCTTAACCTTTATGTCCCATGTGCTTTTCTACAGGGCTGCAAACTAAACTCCTTGGTAATCAATTTTTGTGGTGATCATTTTCTTTCATTAGTCCTAGCTCTTAAACTGTGAAAGGCTTGTCAATATTATTATTTTTAAACTAAATCAATACAGACAAATCCATCCTTTCAAAATCACTTATTCCTGTAGCATGTTGTTGTATTGCTTTTTCTGAGTTAGCCTTTAAAACCTATAATTATTTAAATTATTAGTTGTAATTGGATAATAAACATATTTCTCTGTTAATAATTGAGTTGTTATTGTAGTGTGTCCAGTAGTAAATGCCAGATTTGTTTTCCTTGATCTGTCATTTAAAACCTGATGATGGGTTAATCATCCCAATGGGCTTCACTAATGGCTAAATCTTCTACGGCCAAATTTAACGCGCACACTGCCACCCTGTGGCGAACAGGCCGAACTACACTTTGTGTTTACTGTTTATGTTCCTCTCAAATGTGTGGATTTTTATTTTCCTCAGTTTGGCCACTGCTATGATAACGACTTGTCCTATCTTAATTAACTATTAATGTTTGATATAATGCAGCCTAGAAAATAGGACAAAATGTTCTGTTTACAAACTAATTTGAATCTTGACATTATACAAAACTAATGGGCTGAAGGTGATTCGAGCATACAATTTTGGGTAAATTCCCGCAAACCTGTTGTGGTAAACGAAGTAAGTAGAAGTAAATCTATAGAAAAGAGTTGTAGCAGCGTATCTCAGGAAGTAGTAGACAGGGTGGGGGTTACCCCTCACATGTAGCCTACAATGCTCCCTTTACTGCAAACCAAACATACCCCTCCTTTAAGGGAATGTGTTCGAATAGGATTGGGTGGTTTGAATGAGTTTAAAAAAGAAACGACAGACTCTGATACAAAACATACACTTTATTGAATTAAATGCACCGTAAACAAAACAGAAGTCCCTGGAACAGCGCGCTGTGCTGAAGTGACAGATCATTTCAACAGGCTCCGCGTCGTCAGAGAAAGCTGGATACGTGTGCACTTATGTACACTAACTTATGTACACTTCATAAACACGAGAAAACCGTCTAAACACATCACATGCAATGCACATGAACATACTTTTTTAGCCGTAGCCACGGTTCAACTTACGAAACTAACTCGAGTGGAGAAGATAAACAAAGTTCACACTGTGACCTAGTTTGGTCGGTTTTGGTCGAGCTTTTAGGTTCAGACCGACGCAAATAGACTTTCCAGGACTTCGACTTAAGTATATTGAGTAATAACAAACTTTCATACGCGGTAAATGTGTTTTTATGGCGTGCACACGTAAAATGCAGTGGGGGCTCTTTCGGGTAGCGTCATGTTCTCACTGCATTGCCTTTTTACGGGAGATGGGCGTCGCTGGCCGGAGATGGCGCTGTTGTGCATATATTTTGTTTGAGTCCCGTTTCCCTCCATGGTTTCTCCTCTCTCCGACTAACTTAGCGTTTGGCTCTGTTCATTATACAGCCCTATATTCTCCCTCCATTAGGGCATCTCTGCCTTTGGACTGAAGATCCCACCAAACGCACGACACAAAAGTACTTTCACGGGTCAAGATGGACATGAAAAAGAGGATCCACTTGGAGCTACGAAACAAGTCGCCGTCTGATGTAAGTCGTGCTTTTTAATACCAACCCATAGTTTTCTGGCTAGCCCTGTTAGCTAGCCTCGCTACTTTTTGCGAGTGACCTGTGAGGATAATGGTGACCACATGGGCTTTAGGTTGTGTTTCTTTTTTATATTCAGGCGGCAAACGCTCCTTCAAACTTACAGCTTTATTCACCTCAGCGATGGGCGTATGTGGCGAGAGGGGAGAAAAGCGATATTCAATGGTTACTTTGAAGAGGCTTGCTGGCATTATTGCGGTGCTTTAACCATTTCACAACCCCGCACATTGGGGGGGACACGCGGATCACTGCTATTTCCCCGCTGAAAACACGAGCCCCAAACTTGCTATACACACATATGAGGAGCATTTGTCTTTCTGGTGGCGTTTGGCAGTCGTGGTACATTTTATACAGACCTTGGTAGCCATGTTTGCTGCTAACAGCTAGTGTATAGCGCCTTTTAATCGCGTACGTCTCCAGATTGCAAGCGTCCTCAAATGTACATTTGTTTTTATTAACCATATCCTCACACACGTAAAGTATTGACCGAAAAACGCCACAGGGACATTCATACCCGAGCAGCAGAGACAACGAAAAACAGTCACTTGATTCACGAGTCATCCATGCCTTTCTAGTTACCCATAAACCTCTGTAATACTGAATTTATGTCGGGTTATCAAACGAAAAACGACGTGTGACTGCACAATTTACACCGTGGAGTGTTAAATCTGCAGGTTTATGGACAATGAGAAATCTGTGATCATGCGTTTAATAAATAAATCGTGTTCTTTGTTTAATATATACTTTATAAACTGCGGTAATGTTATTTTAAGTAGTTCTGGTTAAAGATTATTCGACAAGAGCCACGTAAGTTGGTATTTTGTTCCCGCCATATTACCCCATTCGCCACATCGCTCAATGCAATCGAAAAAAAATCGAAATGTAAACTGGTAAACGATTAATAACTCAGTGTTTGTCTTAGTTATGCGAAAATATGATAAAATTTAAAGAAGCTGCGCGGATAAGAGCTTTCCCTGACCGCCTGGAGCCCCGGGCCGCCTGCGGGAATGACACAGAGCTCAGCCGGGCGCCGCACACTCTGCGTGGGCAGCAAAAACTCGACGCTCGGTGTTTCTCATCGACCCATGCATCGGCTAAAACGAAATATAGCCAATACTAATGTACATATAATTTATAAACATATACTTCCTCATCGTAAACAATAGTCTGGGTAATGAAGTGTTCAGAGAGCTGCATACTGTGTCTGAGGAATCGCCATGTTGTCACTCTGTCGTCTTTGAAGCTCTGGAGAAAGGAACTGTCTCCATCTTTGTTTTCACTAAATTTCCGTTCTCACATGTTTTCTTCGCCATTTCGACCTCAAAAACGATCTCGTACCCTGCACCAAACAGCCGGTTTCGTTTCGCCGTCGAGAAATATTCCATTTCCCAAGTGAAAGCCGGTGTTGGAGCGTGTCATCTGTACTAGGGTGTATTCGCAGTCCTTTCCGCTGCTGTTGGGTCGCTAATGGCGGACAGACGGAGCTGGAGCTGCTCTCTATCGCACGGCTCCGTTTAAAAGGGCAATGCTAGCAAGCGAGCTAGCTCTGCAAACCAATGCATTTGTCATTAGTGCGGGAGCCATGCGAACAAGCCCGCTTTTACACTGAGCAATGTGCAGACAATTTGGCGGAAAGACTATTTACGATCTGTACAAACTATTTTATCAGAACCCTGCAGCCATTAGGTCTTTTACTC